ACATGACGGACAAACACATCCCACTGGAGCTTGTGGGGCCGATCGCCGTGCAAGCTTGTTGGTTAGACTTGGTTAGACGACTTGCACTTGCTATGGCCTTGCCACATGGCATCGGCAGGTCCCGGGCTTGGCAACACTGGATCTCTCTGATTGGGCGGTTTTCGGCGAACTCCGACAGCTGCTTGCAATGCATCAGTTGCACGGAGATGCGTGTTCTTGAGCCTTCGAGCACTTTTATGAGTCTTTGTTTTGACATCCGTTCGCCCTCGCACCGTGCGTGGCTTTGTGGTGACTCGTATTTGCGATCCGCTCTGCTCTGCGTTTCCTCCTGTTTTCTCACTTTCGTATCGAGGTTTATGCACCAAGGTTAGAACTTCATGGCTCCAACCTGCAGCATCTGGCCCTCCCACAGGCGAATTTCTCGCAAGAAGCGCTGGGAGAAATTGAAGAAGTTTCACGAATTGTCGAGCGAGGTTCAGATTAATCGATTAATCCCTATCATATCCTGAGTTTATTCCGTTGCACATCATACTGGGAAGGGTGGCGAGCTTCGGAGCATCACGCTGCGGGCAATGATGCTGCCAAAGCTGCAGATGTACCTCAAGGCCAAGCGGGAGAGGATGCGAGAGGAACAGCGCAGCGAAATGGATGACCCTGCAAGATAACAAGGTTTTCGACTCGACATGAAACTTGGCTGGCTTTGATCAGGGGTCTCCCTGCAAATTGGTGTGGCACCTTCAGGCAGCCGCGTCGGTCGATGTGCAAATCCCCAACATCTCTCAATTGCACATCAGCGGCTGCGCTGGCCTTGATGGCCGACGCTTGCACACTCAACTGCATTCAGCACAGTCAAGCATTCTCCAAGCCTCAAGTACTGGTAGCATCAGGTATCTTGCACACACACATGCACAGCTTCCTTCATGGAAAGACCTGTATCCCAGGTCTCAGCTCCTGGCAGGGTGCCGGCAGCTGGAGCTGCTGCAGCTGTCTCAATGCGCATCTCTTGATTCCTTTGAGCTTTCCAGCACAAGGCTTCAGGAGCCCACAGCTTGCCGAAGTCAATGTATGTGCTGCTGGTATTGTAGAAAGGTGGTGGTAGTGGCAGTGGTCGTCGCCGTCGTCGTAGCATTATTATGTTCACGATTAACGTTGCTATTCGTATGTGATAGTGTGACGGCCTCAGGGGCTGCTTTTACGTTACACCACTTTTCTTTCCGATAATATTGGCCGATTTGCTCAGTGCCTCTGCGTTGAAAGTTAGCCGTGCCATTCTACGATTTAGATATTCAATGAGAGTTCTCAGGAGCTTGATCTGAGGTTCGGCGCTCTCGAGCTGGTGCGGGGTTTCGGTGGGCATTCAAAAATGCAGGGGCTTGAGTTCTTCCAAGCGAGGCCCAAGGTAGTGTTGAACCCTGACAGGACATGGAAAAGCAGGAAGCCAGCAATCCTGAAAGAACATAGATTTTTTGCTACAACAATATACAACAATCAAAACAACAGTGACAAGTTGTACAAACTTCAAATCTAACTTTAACCAAACATTTTGGCCTGACCAAAGTTCCAAAGCATCGCAGTATGGGAGAGAATGAGATTCTTACACTGTTCTCCAGGCAGACTGTAATGGACCGACCAGTCCATGCTTAAAACGGGTTGCCTCTCATGCAAAAAGCCAAAAGGAGCTGACGTTGCGCCTCAGCAGAAGCCATCGCCTGCAGACACTGCGCCTCCGGTGCCCCAGTCTACAGCATCTGAGAGGCACTCCGAAGTTTGTTTCGTGCTTGGTTTCTAGCCTCATCCGGCGCAAAGTAGTGTGTTCTATACCGTGTTCTGCCAGTGCCCCTCTGGCTAGCCGAGTTGCATTGCTCTGCCTTCACCACCACTTGCTGCGGCGAACCTGCGGCGATTAGTCATCGAGTCTGCCAGGCTGACGTTGAGCAGAGGGAGAGGAAGGTGTTCTGCAAGAAGCGTAGGACAGAAAACGTCTGGTCGAAGACCTGTCGCTGTCCCTCCACCTGCCTCCAGCTCACTCACTGCATCACACACACAGACATTCTGATCCACTAGCTGTGTAAACAGGGTGCGCATACGAAATTGGGGGTACCAGGCAGAGTTGGAGAACCTCTTATTGCAAGTGGTTTTCCTAAACGTGTGACACGTTTCATGTGCACACGTGTATCGTAAAATTGCCATCAAGTCGACCTTGGTACAAGACAAGTCTCTGTAAGGTAAGAGCTGAACATTCGCTGGTCTTGATGTGCTGGCAGGCTTGCTTCCTTGGATCTCAGCTCCTTGCGGTGGCAAGAGCTTATTGAGCTCAGTCTCGCGGCTTCATACGGGCTCCACTTTCTGTTGGTCGGGGTGATGTCCGATAGGGGTCAAAAACACGTTAACTTGAAATGCGCAAGGGGAGCGGGGAATGCAAATCCCAGCGCAGGGTCCCGAATAAACACGGGACACTAAAGCCATGGATCGAAAAATGGTTTAAAAAAAGAACCGAGACGAACGGGCACCCTTGCTTATATTGAAGCAAGTGGTGTACCCTGAGGCTACTTCGTATGTTCAATGCAATGCATCAAACCCTTTCTGATTTCGAATTGGGGGGGGGGTAGTTGGCATGATTGCCCCACACATCTGTGACCGGTGGTGCAAGTCGCAGCACTGTCAGTGAAGCGGTTGTGGCTGTGTGGGGCCATGTGGGGCTGTAAGGTTTGCAGCTTCCGCACTTGGCCGTGCTGAGCCCACCGGCCGCGGCTCAGCCTTTAGTAGGCGCACTTGGTGGGCTGTAGAGATCACTATTACATGCTGTTCGCTGTCAGGGCTCCTGCATTTTTGGGAAGATGATTGGAAGGTGAATCTGCGGATGTCGCTGGTAAGCGTCCGGAATCAGTTCACATTGAGATCTCGTCCAAGCGGTTGAACAAGTTGGACCTCTCAGGCACCCCGATGAATTTTCAGAAACTGTTTACTAAATCTCGGGTGAGTCGTCATTCTTTCCAAGCCGGAACCTAAGCTTTCTGGTCCTGCTGGTGTTGATTCGAGGCTTGCGCCGCTCCAAGTGCATTAGCCTGACTTTGGAGTCCTGGCGAGTGCAAGTGCTCTGGCCGCGTCAGGCAAGGCTGGAAAAAGGCCAGCTTTGCAGTCGCTTTCGTGGCAATGCTGCCATGGTGACCTGAGCTGACCCGAGCAGGTGCGCATTCCGCAGCCTGCTTGCGCTTGCGGCTTCCGTGCTCGGAAATACCCTTGCCCCCCCAAGGCCAGCTTCCATTCGCAAAACTTTCGAAACCATGTTTTGTCGACTGCAGCCTGTTCACTGGAGGTTGCGGGCTCCTGGAATCAGCAGACACAGTGGATTGCTCAGGCTGCCATGCCCTGAAACCAGCACCTCGGAGAGCACAGGCTGAAGACGCGCACTGAGCACACTTCTATTGTCGCTGGTACCGAGACATGCCTCCAGGACACCTTGAAGCTGGGCAAGTTCCCGAACCTCACATCAATAGACCTGACAGCCGCTCGGCCTGGTCAAGTAACCATCTTCCTTCGGCCCACTGGCAGTCTCGGCACCAACGTACCACAGGATTCGGCATGCTGATAGGCACAAGCATGCACAAGCTACGGCCAGGATTGTCAGGAATTCGATGACGTTGCCCTCATGAACGTGGCTGGCGCATGGGCAGAATCGGCATAGAATGCGTGCTGCCACCCGTGGCTTGTGTTGTGTTTTTGTTAGATATGGCTAGCCATGAATACACATATACACAATGTAGTGCACACATACATACAGACAGAGACAGACAGGCAGGCAGCCAGGTAGGCTTACATACATCATGCATGCATACATACACAAAATACATAAACCATTTCAAGGCTTGTTGGAATTTGGCAGGCGCCCCTCAGTTGCAGCGACTACGCTGCAGAGGCTGCCCCTGCCTGTCCCGGGCCGGGGTGCGACAGGCAGTGCGACGATCCTTTTGCCTCGAGGAGCCAACTTCTTGCGGGCAGCCGAAAGGCATTCGACCCGAAAGGATGATAAACAAGAAGCTGGATATATTCGGTTGCGACTCAAAAGTCCGGCGTATGTTTACTAGACCAACAGTTTCGTTTGACATAGGGTTTGTAGAACAGCCGTTCTCGAAAAGCCACTCGGTCTCAAGGAGGTCTCCAAGACAGGTCTGTGATATGCGTGTATGAAACAAACGGGCATGACATCCATTTGTAATAAGGGGGGTGGGGGGGGGGGGGGCGGCCCAAGGCACAACGGGAAATCTTGATTCATTGCCATATAAACAGCATGTAGGGAATATGGGGCAGTGCCATGTAGCTCTATGCCACATGCAGGAGCTCGACACAGATGTGGCACCTCGGCATCTACCACAGATGAGCTGATTGCACCCGTTTTTTCGTCGCTTTGCGCCTGCATCCTGGGAAGACGGCCCCCCCGATGTCAGGTTTGGTGGCCTCAGCTATGCTGGCCTCCTTGGGATGTGCTTGACTTCTTCTCGTGGCTTTGGAGGCCTGAGTGTGACTAAGTGAAGAGTCGTAGGCAAGGTAAGGCCCCTATGTGACGTTCAGACTCGAGGCCAGAGCTTTCCAGGAGATGGCAGCGACTCCGTCCCTTGGATTTAGCTGCTGCAAAGGATCAGGCATGCAATGCCTCGAAGTTCATCCTCAGCACTGCCATGGCTGCGATACTTGCAATGCGCCGTGGCTGCTTTCAGGCAACGGGCTTTAGCGGCTTTAGCATTCCCTACTGCTTGCATGTATGAACCTTCGCCCCGACCCGTTTCCAGCCCCCTCCGGCCCGAGGTCTTTACGAGGACGGAGACCAGCAAGTTTCAAGCTTTGGTAGCTGAGAGGCGAAGGAGCAAAAATGCTTCTGCACTTCTGAACAGGGCAAGCCATCTTGTTCTGGAGCCGGGTAAGTCCGAGGAGCAATCGCAGACATGCAAGTACAAGTCAATGCCAGCATTCATGCACATATGCATTTGGTCCAACTACACGAGGCCTCAGCTGCATCAGCCAGAGTGGCGCTGCGAACATTACGGCCTGCTGCCGTGCTGTGCTGGAAATTCCCTTCCCACCATTAATTATGAAGTCCCCTACCTGATGTACGAAATTCTTGGCACGACCCCTCTCTCGAAGACGAGAAAGCCTCGAAGACCACAACATATATTGAGCGTCTTCCAAGCTGTAAAATCCCCTAAGATATCTTAAAGGAGTCGGGGAGAGGGGGTCGGGACCAGGGATTAGAGTGACCAAGATGTGCAACGCGTATGTCCATCCACTCTCGTCAGACCCTCGTTGCAACAGGTCAAGACCATTGGCGGCACTCCAGGATACAAGTGTGGGAATCTTGGTGGGTTCATGACATTCCAGTACAGAACTTCTCAATAAAGATACCTTGGCAGAAGCAGAGCGTCAGATTGGTTTTGCAGACACCACGGAATTCCGTGTCTTGAAAGCCAGTTCTGGCAGGTCCTGTTTACGAGCGAACTCGACGCTGCACTGAATCATCTGAGGCTGACCTTGCCGTGGTGTGACACAAGTTCAGCTAATGTTTGTTCAGGTGTGGCAGGGCACCACAGGGATCTCGAGACCGTGGCAATGCTGTGAAAGTTAGTCCACCTCGCCTGTGCAGTGTGCAGGTGTACTCCTTTGGTATGGTAATGCTTGAGATGATGACTGGCCGGAGGCTAAGCACAGAACAAGTAAGGAACGAAGACACGCTTAGTGCGAACATCCTCAAAATGAGTGCGCGGTACGGTGGCTCGGCTCAGCGCGTGGTACGGGCCGGTTCGGTAAGGCTTCCCAGGACCAAGGCAGAGTTATGGGGAAAGCTTTTCCTCGCACAGGGCCCTCTTGGGTCGTGGGGTGTGTCAGGACTTTTGAAATTCACCTTCAGCCCAACCAAACCTCTTGCAACAACGCCAGTCTCAACTGTGGACTCAGTGCATCCCGATGCAGCTGTCCACGCGACACCCTGTGCTTTACACGCTGTTGCAGAGCTTGGCCAGCACACAATGGCGTCTTCAGCCCTGTGACAAATCGTGTTGGGCTCCGGAATCTCTGGACTCCCGATTGGGAGCAGAGCGTGAGTTGATACGTCGGGGCAGCGGCCTGGAGCTTGAGTCACGGACGGCCCTCACTGTGTAGTGACACTGTGCAAGCCGGAAGCGCGTAAGCTTCAATGAGACAGCTAAATCATCCTCTGCACATTTCCATTAAGAGGGCCTCGACATCAAGCCTCTCGCTCTCGTTGTTGGTCTGCACATGCGAGCAAGAGGAAGCACACCTCTTTACTAAGCTTGCTGCAGTGGGTCGTGATGCCAGAGGCTGCTGGAGACACTGTAGCCAAAGGACAGACATCTTGCTCTTGGCTACAAAGTGCAGACCTCACCAACTTTCATCGAGCAAGGTCCGCGCTAGGTCCTGTGAACTCGCGGCCCTAGAATCCCATACTGAACACACTGAACCGCACTAGACATTACCAGACATCACTGCGCCCAGTAGGTCTGGATCCTTCAGCGACTGATCCATTGGCTCCTCGAGGCACCTCGGTGCACAAACCCGATGATTTCGCCTGCTGCCAATGTTAGAAAGCAACCTTTGTGGCCTATGCGCCGCCTACGGAACGTCAGATGCTCCAAACTGTCAGGCATTGCTTTCCCGATTGTGCGAGCCCTGGCTGGCCCTCCTAAGGTTGCTGTCAATGTCAGCACACCCATGTCAGTATTGCATGAGTACGTCAGTCTGTTTTCATGTGTACCAAAATGTACCAAACATCACAAGCCATGTTTGATCATGAGTGCGGCAGTACAGACTCGGAAGGGACACCAAGACACTGGAGGCGAAGAATGCGTGCCCATGGGACAGTAAGTTTTCAGATGTTTTTAATATTTTTTAATTGTTTTTATATACCTCCTGTTTTGGAGGTGCCAGCGTGGAATCTAGAAGAGCAAAGAGGTGTGAGCATCTGAGTCTTCGCACCTAGGCCAAGACTGTGGCCCCAAACACGCCGGGGGACCTGCAACGGCTCCAAAGGCTGACACCTGCTGACACCTGCTGACACCTCTTGACACCCAGATGCAGTACAGTGAAAGGTCGGGCGATGCAACGGCCAGCTGGCCAGGGCCTTGCGGGGCTAGAAAAGAGCTATAAGGCCAGATGATGCCAGACGCCCCTCGTGCGCGAAAGCTGTATGATACGTTGCGTTCAACTCTTGGGCACTGGGCTTTCTCCGTCCCGCAGGGGAGGGGACAGCTCTGTTCGGGCTCCTTGAAGAAACCGGGCTGTTATGGTTTTTTGACGGTTGTTTGGTGTGTCATTGCTTTCCGCTCCAGCAACTTTATCATAGAAAGCAAGTCGGGAAGGCAGCTCTAAGGCAGTGGATCTTGTGCACACGATAACGACTTCTTACGACTTGTTAGTTGGAACAAGGCCAAAGACTGACATTCCCGATCCTTTGGATGGGTATGCAAAGTCTACCTGGGTTCGGGCTACTGGACTATGAGCCTGGGGGAGGACACCTCCCTTGCCAGCCCCGACGCAGAGATCGAAGAACACGAACGCAAAGCCCACAATAAGTTTTTGCATGTTTTTGCGAGAAACAAAACGATGGAGATGCCCCCTACGACAAACGAATAAGAGAAGCAATGCTAAACACAAGCTGAAGACGAGTAATTGAGAGGGCTGAAGAAAAAACAAGAGGGACAGCATAGGCAGGGATTTAAGAAACCAGGACGGCGATTACGGCGATTACGTCGGCAAGACATTTCCGAGGATACAGTGTTGGAAAGCACAAAAGAGACAGAAGCACACAATGACCCTGACTTCAAAGTTTGGCAATTTTGGGGGTACCCGGAGTGGGGCCCGCCGGGGGTGTGATCACTTGCAAGTATTTCGATCCCGAAACCGATCACGTGCGTTTGTTTGGAGGCGGTGTTGCTAAGCCAAGGCCCTGGAGCCTCTTCGAAGAGCTCGCCCCGCCGAGATCTTTGACGTGTGTGGAAGCACCAGCAAAGTTGATTCGGGTTCTTGATGCTATCGCGCCACTTGGCCTCAGCTTCCAAGCAGCCTAGCCGAACTAGTGCGCAAGTCTGCGTTGGCCCACGCATCTCGGGAGCAGCAGCTGTTGGTAGTGTCATCTAAAAAAGGGGGCAGCAGCTATGACTCCTTCAGCCAGATTTGAAGTGCGAAAAACCGTATTCAACAGTCCGATCCTCATGCTTATTTCCTGATACTGTGGCACTGGAACCGTTTCAGCCAAGCTCATGCGGTGGCGGCGCCGCTTCTCAGATCCTGCAGATGTCCGGATACCACCGGCATGTGGATTGCAAGTGGCAGAGCCTGCGGCCCGAGAAGAGGGCGAGCAAGAACGATCCATGTTTGTGTGACAAGCTGGTCATGGTTGTCCCGCTCAAGTGCACGAGCTGCTGAGCTGCATGTACTTGCAGAGAGGACAGGTTTGAGCTGTGCTCCTTGGGGGTACAGCCATCGTAAGCCAGCAAGGGGACGACCTCCTGGATCATTTCGGGAAGTACGGCAACGTACTGGAAGCAAAGTACATTGGCTACGAGACACTTAGCTGGGCTATGCCTAGTGGGTTGGGTGCTTCTGTCCTCTCGGCTGCTCGCGGGCAGCCGCCCTACTAGTACTTGTGCAGACTCACATGGCGCTTTTCTGGTTAAACGAAGTCGAATGACAGATTCTGCTACTTTAGCTCACCAATACTGAGGAGGTATGTGTTGCACTTTGACAGCCCGGAGACCGTCGAAATGGTTCTAGAATGTCAGGCGGTGGAGCTGCCGTGCATCAAGGGCGTTGATGTCAAGGCCGTCGACGGGCCAGTTTTGATGTGTTGACGTCAACCGCAACTTTCTTGTTGCGAATGTCCGGTCAGGTTGCCAAATGGTTTCCCGACGACACGAACGATTCCGGTAGAAAACGCAGCTTGCCGAAGCTGTATGTGAGAACAAAATGAGTACCATGGACTTGGGTTTTGTGTGGAGTATTCTGGAATGCAAGGTTTCGCTGTACCGCCTCTGAGCGCATGACATATTTCTGCAACGAGTTCCGTTCTTGTTTTTTGCAAGGAAAGGAGGTCAATTTGGCCTCAGAGAGCATCAAGCAGCCCGAGTCGAAGAGTGCCAAGCGCCTGAAACCCTTTGGAAGGGTTTGAGAGCAGGTCCCGCAGGCTTTTCTTGGACATTGTGTGGAGACCGCGGGTATCCGTGGGCCATAGAGAGAGTGCAAAAATGCAAAGCTTGGCAAAGCCAGTCGGAGCTCCATTTCGTCTCGCCTAGATGTTAAATTGCCTCCCCCTTCTCCAAAGTGGTCCAAGTGACACGAGTCTCGAATGTTTGGCTTAAGCAAGGCGAGCATCATATTGGCATTTCGGCTAAGTTCTCTAGACCGTTTGAAAATAAATTGCGGTTTACAAGGTGCCATAGCTACAACTTAAGTGGAAGGGGCTCCATGAACGGAGGACTTCTGACAGACCAGGTACCACATAGACCCGTAGTTTGCAGAGCGAGTCTGTTGGGCAGACGGCATCGCGTCACAGCATGGCATAGCTGTTGCCCTGCACTTGTTTAATTCAGCTTGCCGTCCAGATGGCGGCCGTGCCCTGGCTCAACATCCAGGGAGGCCCTTCGCTAGTCTGGGCGACGGCGAGTGCCTGCCCGGCAGTGGACAACGTGTCTTGGTGACAGTCTGGCTGCTTGCATCTGCTTGCGTGTTACTCTTCGGATCTTAGCTCTTTTATGTCATGATGAAAAGCGTCTCGCAGACAAGGTGACGACATTCACGACGGATGCCCTCTGGCAGACGAACAGTAAAGGGACAGTCATGGCAATGGTGCCGTGCATGCGATCACTTACTATTTGCAAGCCGTAGCAATATAGGGGTAGCCAAACATCTGTCATCTGCTTCAGTTTTCAAACGAAGTATCTGCAAACACTAAGCTCGTGCAGTAGAATTGCTACACCTGAAACGAAACTTGTACGTGTTCAATGTCTTGTATGCTTCAAGAGATTTTAAAATGCAGGTGCGAGGGTTTCTTGGAGTACGTTAGCTAGGCAAAGCCTAAGTCGCGATGGAATGTCTAGTTTTGAAGCTGCAATATGTTGACCGTGCAGCTTAGCGAACATGCTGTGACTCACAGGTTGCCCATGCAATTGTTGGTACGTTGTTTGTGGTCGTCAGCGCACTCTGCTTTGCTAGTCGTCACAGTGGTGCTGGGTGCGTAGCAGCAGCAGCAGCAGCAAGAGGAGTAATGCTACGACACCAAGAAGTACTGACAACAGTAACAACAACTTGTCACAAAACATCCATATTGCACTTGCATGCGTCGTTGTTCCTTGCCGAGGACAAGGCCGAATTTGTATACGAGCCGTTGAATGCCGGGCGCGACTTTGGGCCTTTGGACCTCGCAGCGACCGTGGTTTACTGCCGGTGGGTCGATGCGCTGTGCCAAGAACATGCAAGCAGCAGAGCTTTAATTCACATCACTGCCGACAGTCCCCGTGAGACCTGGAGCAACACAGTGACGCTGTGCTGCTCATATTCCATTCTAGCAAAAGGCCTGTCAGCACAGGATGCTTACCGGCCATTCGCTTTGCTGGACCTGCCGCAGTTTGTGGACTGCCGAGGGGAGGGTGCGAATGGAATCGACCTGCAGGGAGAGGAGTCTGACTTCAGGTTGTGGGTGCTGGATGTTTTGATAGGCATACAGCGAGCCAGAGATTTGGGTTGGTTGGACTATCGCACTTTTCCTGCGGAAACGCATAGCCAGATGCTCCGTGCAGAACATGGGGACATGAGCTGGATCCTGCAAAACAAGGCCCTGGCCATGGCAAGTCCTTGGGCACAGCCTGTGGATGCGGAGGGAATGCCAGTGTGCACACCAGACGTCCTCGTTCCTTTCTTTCTGGAAAACAATATTGGGGTTATAATTCAGTGCAACCATCCCCAGTCTGAGGAGAAAGGAGCGAGGAGAGACTTGATCAGCTATGATCCAGGGGCTTTCGAGCGTGCTGGGGTTAAGCATGTGTGGCTTCCCTTCGAGGATGGAGGTTGCCCGTCTGTGGAGATAATCCGTCAGTTTCTGCAGATTGTGGAATCCACCAGCGGTGCCTTTGTCGTTCACTGCAGATCTGGTCTTGGTCGCACGGCTACAGTCATAGGGATTTATGCGATTCGACATCTTGGATTCACGGCGCGGTCCTTCATAGGCTGGTCACGAGTTGTGCGACCTGGAACAGTACATGGCAGCCAGCAGCAGTACCTCGTGAACCTTGAGGCATATTTACGCCCCGGCTCGGAGAGATCACTAAGCACCTTAAGCCAAATCGAGCAGTTGCAGATGCTGCCGTTGCGGGAGCTGAGCTTTTGGGCACTTGACTTAGGCGTGAACCCGGAGCTGTTGTCACATCGTTCGCAGCAAGAGCTAATTCAGATCATTCTGGAAGCGCGAGCTAGCCAGGTCAAGTCTGGATCCAACTTGCGGGCACCTGACCCTGCAGCAGTTCACCGAAGCCCGTCAACATCAGAGGCCCCTAACCCGAGCGCCGTGGGCGGGGCGCCACTTGCCAAGACCAAGGCAGTCAATCAGCCACCACAAGCAGACCTATGGCAAGAAGCTCTCCAGTACTTGAGGCTGCTCGGTGCATTGCAAGACAACTTCAAATCGGACACCATCATTCAGCTGGTGGAGCAGCTGCGGGACAGCCCTTCGACACAAGGTCCTACCAAATCCACCGGCACTGAGCCGGCCCTGCAGGAGATAAATTCCGTGCATGCCGCGGCTTTAGCAGAAACCCAGCGCAAAGAAGCCGAGCTGGAAGAAGCTCTGAAGCTTGCAAGGGCGAAACGACGAGAATGTGAGCAAATCAAGCTGTCCATCGCAATGCAGCAAGACGCATTGCTTGAGGCAAGCAGCGATGCCGTCAGAGAGTCCACGGCGATGGCTGACCTGCAGCGGCAGTTAGCAGAAGCTGCGGAAACCCGGCGCCAGAAGCTTGAGCGCCACCGGCACGAGCAGACTGCCCTGCAAGCTGTCAAAGACCAGTGGAAGAGTCTTCAAGCTGAGATTCAGGCTGAGACGGCCGTTGGTCCCGTTGGTCCAATGGAGGCTTGGCAGAATGCCAAGCGTTCTCTGGATCGCTTGCGAATGCGCCTGGAGCAGAGTTAGGAGACTACATGAGACTACAAAGACTACGAACAGCTGCACAAAGAGGCGAAGCGCTTTCCATAGTCTATAGGTCGCTATTCAGCGTTGGAGCTTACGCGCTCGTGGGCCCTCCCAGTACTCTTGTCGGGCAAGCAATGCTAGAAAATGCCTTCGCTTGTGCGCATGCCACATTTTGCTTTTGTATGTAGAGGGGTGGCAGAGGTTCCAAGGGAACCGAACATCCAAGGGTGGCCTTGCGCAGTGTGTACTGCCCTGCCGAAGAGAAGAGGCCAACGTTTGTGGCGACCTGGCTTCAGTGAATCGTGCACGGCACTTTCCAACTTTCAATCATCGTAGTCCATGCATGTTGCGATGACTAATAAGGAGTTGGTGCGGCTGTTAAAGTCTGCCGCTGGCTCCCCAGAGTTGCAGTAGAAGCCGCCGGTTGAAGTCCCGTCTTGTCGCACAGGTCGAGCGCTTTCCCCCTGGGAGCGTTTCCAAGCAAATGGACATGACCCAGGCCGCTAGCTGCCCTTCTGAAGCCAGTAGCCAGCAGAAGCAAGGAAAAGCAAGTCGAAGCAACGAATGCGAGGCCTCAACCGGGTCGGATGCTCACGGTCAAGGGCTTGGTGTATAACTTGTGGTGGCTGCACGGAGTTATGTGCCTCTTCTGTTCCAATGCAAGCATTTTTGAGTACCGGGGCGTTGCCACCAGATGGGCCTGCAGGCCCGTGCACGCCCAGAACCTCGCAGGCAAGGGAGTGCCAAAGATCTAATGGATCCTAATCTCAGTGCTTCACGCTGTCAGGCCGCTTTTGCAGTCAATCGGCTGGGTCCTCAGTCTCCATGGTTGCTCGCAGGTTTCAGGACATTCTGGTTGTGAGGAGGTAACCACTGGTAACATGGCAGAATACTGCAGGGCATGACTTCTGAGCACTCAGTGGAGAAGTTGGCAGCCAATGCCAGTGCCCTGAAGATCCCTCAAGCGTTTATCTCCCAAATCCCTTAGCTGCATTCAGAAAGAATGCTTGTCAGTGACTTGTCAGCATAGTGATTCCGAGAAGGAGCGCATAGCAAACGCAAAGCAGCGGGGCATTCACAATATGTTTGTCATCAAACAGGTGTCTTATTACTAACAACCTGCAGACACATCTAGTGGAGGCGTTGCGATGGCACTAAGACCACTCAGAAAAGACGACAAGCCTTCAGTACAGTAGGCATAGTTTCTTACCGACACTTACTTCTAAGCCTCACGATCGTCGAAGTGGCTGAATTAGCGACATATCTGAGGATCGATGAAGAGAGAGATGGAGAGAGCGAGAATCAAACTGGGGAAAGGAAATCAGGAATCCAACGGGCATTCGCTTGTCACTGCCCGAAAGGCCTTTTGCCAGTACAGTAGGCATAGTGAAGGGGCATGGGTTCCGGCCAGTGCGTCCCCAGAACCCAGAAGACTGAGCGAGTGTACCGGCTTTACCATGACCTGCTGAGCGTAGTTTAGCTCTGGACTCTCCACAAACTAATTGGCCCGACGAAGACGAGACAAGTGGCTTTGCAGCTGCGTGGCTCGAAGTGAGCTGGGAGCCAGCGTCTTCTTCCTCAGTGGAAGGTGCAGCTTGTGAAGGGTTCTTAGTCTTCACAAAAGGCAGCAGGTCCCCGAGCTGTGCGGTGCTTTGCTGCTTTTGTGACTTTCAAAGTGTCTGGGTATTGACAGGAGATGGACAGATCCTCGTTGAACAAAGCCACCAGCGCGGACGACACTCCCACGCCAGGCTATTTATACACTGAGACATTCAGCTGAAATTCAAGTGATTGTGCTGGCATGAACACTCACGCATCATCAAGTCATCTATGACGGCACTGCGGGGCCTATATCAGATTCATGCTTGGCTGTATGATGGCATTGAGGATAGCCCAGTCAACGTTCGCCGACCTGAACGCATGCCAGCAATTAGCAGACTATCTGCTGAAAAAGTCGCTTTGCTGAGCTTGGGGTATGCTTGCTCCTTGAGTTCATGGGCTTGCCGGCTGCTGCCTGCAAGATGATCTGTGGCCCCATCAGGTTGGAAAAAGACAATCCCCATGTCAAACATAAATGCTTGAAAATCATCAAGCATGTGGCTCGACTGCACGCGAGGAAGCTGCGATTGCACACATGCATCACACCATGCAGGGCAGAAGTTGTTCATCCGAGGTTTGTGAGCAGGGCAAACCAGAATTCAAGCGTGCGATTCAAAGAAAGGCCAAGCCCCCTTGTGCCTAGGCGTTTCAAACAGTCTTCAAGTCCAATTGGCATTGTAGGCGGACGTCGTCAAAGCATGCCTTCAGTACCGGGGCACGCCGGATCCACTGAAAGGCACGGGCAGGGCACACCAATTAGAGTTATTAGAGTGAGTGAACAGAGCGACCAAAGCCCCAGAGTGCAAGCACTGCTTTGTCAGCCGCGTGGACATCTTTGGATGCCAGCCTCGGTACAGCAAGTGGAAACAAAGATGATCCGAACGATGAACGCCTACACAAGGTTAAATCAAAAAACATTTTACTTCGAACATCCCCACCCTGCTCCAGGGACAGACCCGGGATTCTCTGGGCATAACCCGTGGTTGGGTACTCAGGTATTCTGTGAAGAGTCTGGGGTTGGGCACTCCATGGAAAATAGTCTGGGGTTGGCGGCATCCTGCAGAATCTCTGGGGTACTCTGGGATTGGGCACTCCTGGGATTGGGCGGTGGTGTTGGGCACTCCGGGGACTGGGATACGGGTGGTGTCCAACACAACCCCTCAGCGAGGGTGGCGAAGAAAGCCGAGAGGCCACTTAGTGTAGTTAAGTGTAGTTAGTTGAATTCCGGCTCAGCCCCAGCAAACCGGCGATGCTAGATTTTCAGGATTTTGCCCGGACATGTGGCAACAACAGCTGTACGACAGCAACTGTACCGAAGGGCTGGTATGATGGAAGTGGCAATTATTCACTTCTTTCTTCGCAGATTTCTTTGTTTGCTTTCTTGCGGCTTTGCTTTCTCAGCAGCTTGACGGTCGGATACGGTCAGTAAGTAGATCGGCCGGTGAATCAGTCCTTGAATCCTTTCTCGGTATCTGGAACACTCCACCCCACAAACAAAAAGCAAAATACGTACATGAAAAGCATCCGGCAGGAATTGGCACTTTGATCATGTTCGGTCAGCCGCCCTCCCGACTACTTCTGAAACGTGCATGAAATGCAAGATATAGTGCATTCCTACACAGTTACCTGCCCAAACTATCCTGTTCCAGCACAGTCGTGGTTGGCGGGGGTGTTTCATTTTTCGTGGGCTTGGTTTGGAGGGGAACGGGGTTGGGGGCTCCGGCCAAATAAACGCGTAACTTACGGGGTGAGCATCACTCCCAGGCCAAGAAACATTGCGAAAGGTACGCTGTGGGTCCGTTCGTTTTCGAACGTGTCTTTTGCTTCAGGAGTTTGTGCCGCACACGGAGGGATGAGTCTGCGGGGGAAACAACGCACTTGGGCCCGTGCACATTCTTTTGCTGCCGTTACTCCTACAGTGTCCCATCGCAAAGCAACCCCCCCCCCCCCCCCCAAAAAAAAAAAAAAAACGGAAGACACACACAAAAACACAACCCGGCACACTTGCGATATCATCTGATGTTCAGACTGGGGTGAATTTGTTGGTTCTGCGGAACGCTTTCTGCGAGATTGACGCATGTCCAGCCTTTGTCACCGCCGAACCAAAATTTTCAGGGACTCCCGTGTCATAAGAGCTCCGTACGCTTGGTGTCGCTTTGCTTTCTCTGGTTTTTCCGCACGCCCGGACATTCTTATTTTGCAAGAAAGTCTGGTGTCATGTAAACCTACTGAATGAGGCAAGGTCCGGCAAGGTGTTTTACGACAGCGTAATAGAAATTAATCGGGAATGCAGGCAAAACAACAGCTGCTCGAAAAAAGCTGAAAACACCCACATCGATCTACCCTCAGATTCTCGGATGTGGCAACAGAAAACCACGCCAAAGTTTAAGCTTGCCTATGTGATAAGCATGCCATACAAGAGGCTCCAGCTTGGCAGGAAACAGCAGACAATACCGTAGGCTCGTTTACTCATCATATCAGCTCGACTCCGGCACACTGCAGGTTGTATCAACGCAGAACTAAACCGGTGATGCAGCAATAGCGATGCCATATACGAGTAGGTAGTGTTACCTTCCGTCGCTGAAGCGGCCCCAAAAATGCTTAGGCACGCTTTCAATAGAAAATGGATTGGCAACACGCGCCATATGGCACCTTGCAAGCTTTCCGAGTGTATCAGCAGCTTTGGCTACATGAGATGATTAGTGTGCAGAGGCGGCGTTGTCTCCGAAGAGCAATGCTCAATCGTTCATGCTGTCGTCTCCCTTCCCCAAACGCCAAAAAACGAGACTCCTATTGAAAGGAGTGGAACGCCGTGAGCCATAAATGCGTGTTGAAGATGTGAACCACTTGCCCCTGCGAACTCGCCGCCGTCCAGCCTCCAGCACTGACATCAGACCCGACTTGGCACAATCCATGTAGAGGGCCTAAGTGTGTTACCCTCTCCAGGAGTGATAGATTCTTATTTCTGCTCTAACACGCCCTTTTATGTCACAAGAAAATAGCGGCAGGCCTAAGATCCTCGGGAGTCAAACAAGAGAGAACGCGTCATATCCAACGCGCCGGGTGCGGTGCGATTTCTGCCTCTTCGCTTTCACGCCCTGGATTTAATTTAGCCTGGGGTTTCGGCACGGTTCTCATCATGCTGTCGCTCAGCGAGTACAAGCACCCTGTCAACGCAACGGTCCTTTGCATTCTCTTCTGGTACTACCTGCTGATTGTCGTCCAGCGCAGTGTCAAGTACAAGCTGGTCAACGAGTACAAGGCCAAGGGCAAGACCTTCGACCGCTACTTCGGCCAAGATCCGCGGATGCTTTCCGTCGACCGCGTGGTGGCCAACACGCAAGAGCAGATGATGCCTTTCCTGGTCTCCCTGTGGCTGCACGCCGTGTTTGTGAACCCGGACCGTGCCGGCTACCTTGGTTACTTGTACTTGCTGGCCCGGCTTAGCTACCGCTTCCTGATGCCCGCGTCATTGCAGAACATCCAGCCAAAGTATGTTTATGTCGCCACAGGTCCATCCTACGCCGTGGTGGCCTATCTTACCCTCTCGACCTTTCGCAAGGCACTGACTGCCTGAATTCAGCCATGGAGGAGGCCTCACAGCGGGTGTTGTTGAATCCCCGACTTGCGACTTGGGCGATCTGACGCGCAAGGAGGGGCGGAAATAAGGCATACTGTCCAACCGGGTGCGCAACGTCGCTGTACACTCAGTCGCCAGTATTCTGCGTCACTACTATGATGAGACAACCGAACATGAACAGAAGCAAGCTTGAAGCCAGACTTCTGATGGCCAGAGGTCGTAGAAGATGTTGCAGAGCTCAGGTTTGCGGACGGAAAAAGCTCAGCGTCCATGGCTTTAGTTTGTAGAATTTTGTTGGTCGTCCTGGTCGGCCTGGTGCCTGTGTAGGTTCAGTCTGCGCTTGTTCCTAGGTTTGTACTTGCTTGTTGCATGCAGGCATGCAGGCATGCAGGCATGCAGGCATGCAGGCATGCATGGGCACATACCTCAATACATACATGCATACTATATGACATACATGTAGACGGTAGACTTCCAGCACTCGTTCAACGTTTGCAAGCTGCTTTTGCAAACCAGCTTTCGCCCCACACTCACTGGATGCGAAGGCAACTCGCGACACGAACACACTGAGCTTGTAATGGCCATCCTACACCGACCAAGCCGACATCCGCCGGGTATCCATGCAAGACCGAAAGTCGTATGACCACTTGGGAGGATGTAGCTATCTGCACCCCAACCTCCTTCAAATCTGAAAGTGCACACCATTCGCACTGTTGCGGGGCATCTCAGCAAGTAGTCACAATTTCAGGCTTCAAAAACCCCTGCCACGCTAGGCTCATCTAGGATCATCTATGTCCTCCCTCCGCAGCAGAACTCGTCATTTTTGAGACGCTGTCTGTGCCAAGATGAATGGTTGTGTGAAGGGGTGATTTTCTCTTTGTGCCTTTGTGCGGAGGTGATGCTCCCAACAAGGCAGTGCGGGAAGAAGCCGACTTGGCGGTGAAAGCTGTTTTCAGTTCCTGGGCCGCATGCGTCTCTCTTTCCATTCGTCTTGTACGCATGGTCGTATGATACGTATGCGTTTCTTTGTTCTGTTACCAAGGCTCCAACGCATCGCTGAATGCGTATGGCTTTAGTACTGCGCAAGGGAAGAAGATGCAGGGTTTCGGCAGCGAGCCGAGCGATGACATAAGCAGCAGGACCGGGCTGCGGGAATAGCTTTGAAAGAAGCGCCAAGACTGCCAAGACTTGATTGGCCCATCCCATCTGATATTTGTCTACTGACACGGAGATGGACCCATTCTTGCGGCACAGTGCAGAGACACATGAGACACAACTGCCACAACAAAGGTTTACTGCCTGTAGCAGATTGGCGTTTTTCTGGCTGTTACTAAACCCTCACCGAGGGCGACACAACCTGCCAGGATAGGAAACTTGCCATCAAGTTTCAGTGGAAGCCAAGCTGCAGAAAGGAGGGTGTCTGAAGCAGCTCGTGCAGTTCAAGTGTTGGTCGATGTCGATGGGTGCAAAAATTCGTGTTGCACGGGTACATAATGCTTTGGAGCCGAGGCGGCGGAAGCAGTTTCGAGGGAGGTACCTTCGGCAACAGTGGAGGCAAGTCGATCGGCTCAGGACTGATGCAATGTCTGAGTCTGACATCTGCGCAACACATACCAAGGTCCGCCATGCGCAACACACCTATCATGCCGGTGTATCTTTTGAGGAGGAATGGTGGGGTTCGGAAATCCGAATTTTGACAATGCACCCAAAGATGAAAAGGACACCGTCGGCACCTCGGGAATGGGTCTGATGAAGGGTTTCTGGCGTCTCATATTTTAATTGGCAATTCACGCTAAGGTCTTCAACAAAGCCATGTCGAGCACAATGTCTGCAGTTTCCTACCTACAGTCGAAGGTTACGGGAGCTCCGAACTCAACGCCGTCCTTTCCTTCATCCGACAGCACTTATCGGCCACCACCGGTGGGTGGGGGCTTTGGCAGCAATCAGGGTGGCCAAGGAGGAGGCTACGGTGGTGGTTACGGCGGCGGAGGAGGGAATCACAGCAGTCCTGGCTATGGACCTCCAGGAGGCTTTGGGAGCAACAGCCACCTGGCAAACCAGGGCCGTCGTTGGGGCCATCATCCGCCAAGAGAGGAGCCGAAGGAAGAGGAGCTGTCGGAGCCAGCTCCACGGCCGGATCCTCCGAAGCCGCCCCCGCCTATGGTGGATCTTCTGGACATGGACGATGTTTGATGCTCAGTGTTGATATGCAATCTCGCAGTAATTCGCAGTACCTCAGGTGATACTTGTTGCACTCTTCTTGCTGCAGGCTGCCCCGCCGCAGCCTGCAGACAGCGGCTCCCTCCTAGAAGATGAGGCTTGGACCCTGACAAATCCCAGCACGTCCCTCAGTCAAATTGGTGAATTTACATTTTTGTTTTCCGGCAGGCGCCAACCAGTCATCCACCAGCAGATTCTAGATCGCAGGACTGCGCGTGAATGCATTGTTCGAGGTGTTTTCGCCAGCCAGGTATGCAGGTCATAATGAGAAAGCTGATGTGAGGCTCTGGAAGGCTGTACTTGTAGGATGTGATTATGAGGATCTGGCCAAGAATTGGGAAGAATCGACCTGGTACCCATTCAAGATGTCCCAGGGTCCTAATGTAATGAGGGCGGTTCACAAGATTTCAGTTTTGTGGAGTTTGGGGATCTGCTCGATGGCTGACCTTCACATTCTGTCAGATGCTGATGGGCTGATGGTGTGTGAGTATGCATGAATGTGTATGACGGTGTCCTCAACAAGTACTGGCAAGGGGCGGAATGCGGAAGTAGGCCCGCCTTTTGACTAGGCCAGAAGGTCTCTGTGTGTGCTTCCCTGTGGGAGGACCTGCTGGGTGGTGAACTCCTTGGGATCGAAACTCCTTCTGCAGAAGGTGCAAAGGGCATATGAAGAATGTAGTAACCCTGAGTGGTCAGTTTTTTGCTTTCGCTCTCTTTGCTTGCCGTATTTCGCTTTCTTGCCCGCCATCTGACACCGGTCTTTGCTGCTCCGGAGGGCTGGGGGCCTACGGACCCCTGCAATACCGGCGGAAGGGAAGCAGAGTCATCTTTATAGAAACGATACTACTCGACCCTGCTGCCCTCTGCTACGCTCCAGATTGTGAAATTATGTTACCTGGCTTCCAGGTGGCGCTTCCCAGCCTGCGCCTGACGTCCAGGCACGGCACATGGCGCAGCACATGGCACGGCATGATACACCTCCATCCTAGTCCTGTGAAGGGCGGCCTTTTCTCTGGCCTGGAGATTTCGGGCACAGGCGGGCTTCTTTATTGACTGAAGAGCTGCCAGAGCCGATGCAAGCCGTGCCAGGTGAAGCGACAGGTAGCACTGCATCCTGTGGCGGAGGCTGCGGAGGTGGGCTTGGCATGATGGGAGGCGGAGCACCTCCAAGCGCAATGGCTGGCAGCTGCGGTGCCGCAACACAGCCTGTAGGGAACGCTATGCTGGGTGGTGGCATGATGGGAGGGGGATCGATGGCTAGCACATCGATGGGCGGCGGAATGATGCAGGGTGCCGGCCAACAGATGCCTTGCATGGGCAGCTGTGGGATGGGGTCAATGGGCGCCCCCATGGGTGGAGCAATGGGAGGCAACATGGGATGCGGCATGGCAGGGTGCGGTGCCAGCATGGCAAGCAACAACATGATGGGCATGTGCGGTGGCTGCAACGCCCCAAGCCCCGGAATGTGTCCTGGTGGCATGATGGGAGGTCCTGCCATGGGCTGCGGCCCCATGGGTTGTGGGATGCCAAGTTGCGGTGGTATGGCAGCACAAAGCATGGGCATGAACCCCATGCAAGGCGGCATGCAACAGTTACCAATGCAGATGCAGCAGCAGCAGATGCAGCAGCAGATGCAGCAGCAGATGCAGCAGCAGATGCAGCCGCAGATGCAGCCGCAGATGCAGCCGCAGATGCCGCCAATGGCTCAACCCCATATGCAGCATCCAGCTTACATGCCACCATCAGGCACGCAAGCTCCTTACCAAAACGGTAACATCCCTATGCCAGGGATCAGTCTTGGTCAAATGTCGAGCCCAGCGGGAGGGGGAAGCTCAGCGTTCAGCTTCATTGGTGGTGGCAGCGGCTCGCCTGATGTTCATATTCGATCGCTTTAGAAACACAACAGTCAGCCATGTCAGTGCTAATCAGAATGTTTGGCCATTCGCCGCTTCAGTGAGCAGTGAAAGGTCTTTGCAACAATTCCAAGCCCTCTCAGACGCAGGTCCCGCCCCTGCACCACAAGCACCTGCAAACGACATGGCCTTCAGCTTCGTCGCGGACGAGCCACCAGTCAGCAGCCAACACTCAAAAGACTGTAAACCTCGAAGTTTGAGAGTTCTTCTTGTCAGAGTGCAGAGCCTTAACAAGGATGAAGGGCGCGGGTGCAGTGAGCTGAGGAGGCATCACCCTAGTGGCTTCACCCTAGTGTTAACATTTGTGGGCTCTCCGGTCTTGAAGAGACCGGGCCGTTCAGAAATGCGTTATGAGAAGACTGCGAAGGTAGAGCAGCATTGCAGTTGCGCGCCCTTTTGCCATGATAGCCGCATTATGCCGCACCCAGATACCCAGTGATTCGATAGGCTCGGCTAGTAGGACGTGTATGTCAGCAAGGTTATCGGTTACAGCGCATGCCATCGTCCAACCCACGCCGCGAGTCTACCTCCGGCACTTTTGTCTCCACGTGCCGAGCATTGCAGATCTCATTGAACACTTGTGCGGGCACATTGTGCAGGTTCACGCCACAAGCAGGCCGTCACCGTTTGTAAGCATGCTCATTACATGTATGGAGCTTCCCGCTACCCCCAAGAATCACGTGCAGCGAGGATTGGCGAGATGTTTGCAGAAAGATTTTAGCAAGTCTCCTGCACCTCGATTTTCGATGCCACTACGGCCATGTTTCCCCAGTAGCACAGGAAGGACCGCGAGCACCCACAAAAAGGTGCACAATTGGATGCAGCATGCAGTTCGGGTGGTGTGCTTCGCTCCTTTCTGGGAAGCATTGCTGACCACGACTCTAAAAACCCCGAATGTCGAGCGTGCAAGGCCGCCAGCAACGCCATGCACACCACCAGATGTGCGACAGCCACCGACTGATCTTGTGAGATCTGTGAGAGGGTCGCGCGGTGAATGCATGCTGCTAAAATGTGGGACTAGCAACAATCCCGATGTATCGGGAATTCGTTTCTGCACCGCGAGACCAAGGCATCACGCTTCGTCGCCATCGCCACAAGCTACTCCGCCCCGCTTTGGTGAGGTCGCGGGTTCGACGTTATGCTTTCCATTGCCTTGGACAGTCATGTGACTCTTATTGTTGCGGTGTAACGTGAGATGCTCATGGGACCTAGGCTGAGACAAAACTGTGTTAAATGGGCAACCCTGTGGGACCAAACAGTGGACGATTCCAACAAAATATTGTCACTCGTATGACCATAGAACGTGCTAAGACTATTGCTGCTTAGGGGCCTGCATGGATAAGTTAGCCACTGAAGTGTGCAAGTACGCAATATAAACATGTAGCAAAAGAGAAGGTGGCATAGACTGCTAGCATTGACAGACCCCAACAAGCTGGCAAGCGTGAGCAACAAGAAAAAATTGCGAAGACGGAGAAAATCAGTGCCAATTTTCTTGTGTACATTTTTTCAGTCTGTTAACGAATACGATGCAGAGGAAATGTCAGCCCAGCACTATCAAAGCCTTCGCACGACTGGTCATATGCCGATTGTCGAACATTTTGCACCCAGTATGTGTGCAGGATCGGCTAGATGAGCCAGAAGCGACATTCATGCGCGGGGCCCCGGCATTAGGGCTACTTCTTGCCATACGCGCTTGCACAGCTGTCCGGCCATTGGGTCACTGGATTGGCGCACTTCGTGCCGCTTCAAGCCGCTGAATCTGAAAGTTACAAACTGCCGTCCAGCCTCCTTCGGCTCATGATGGTTCGTTTTTGAATTAAATCAGCTCCTTCGGTCCGTCGGTCAAACTGAAAGCAAAGACCCGACACTGGGAAAATGCTAGACTCAGAGCGAGGCTGCGGGCATTCCGGAAGCATTCGGAAGTGCAGTCAGAAGATCACTGGAGCATCGTTTTGTGCTTGGGACGCAGCCTTTAGCTGCGTTGCAGGAAGGCCAGCATAACCCCCAGAGCCGGAATACTGCAAGGAAGGACGCGAAAAGCTGGAGCGTCGCCTTGTTGCTTTATCACGCGTGGCTCTCGAGCACTCGCACAGAAGCAGTAGAGGCGTTCAGCATCGTTCAGCCCAAAGGAAGGCCTGAAGGGGCAAGTCGCTGATGTGGAAAAATTAAGATCTGAAGAGTCAATTGAGATCCGACATCTGAGGCTCGAGCTGGTGGAGTCTGCCGGCTGTCGTCCCGAGGCAGGGGGCCGGTATGAATGCCGTACATTATTAGCCCACTAAAGAATTGTCGGCGACTCATGGGTGCAAAACCCACACCCAAGGGCTGTGTTGAACATAGAGGAAGGGGGCTCCACGCCCCTGTCAGTTGTTGACCGAGGACTTGCCAATCGAACAGTTTGCCCCTGAGAGAAGCTCACCCGTTGCATCAGTTCTGTGAGCGCAGACCCCACAAAAGGCGGCGTTTGTTGCTACAACCACAAGGCTGGAAAAAGTCAGAGTTAGAAGAAGACTGTGGTGCATTGCCATCAAACTGAAGCGGCAGCTTCCGGGCACTTCTACGTTGCAGGTTTCTCTGCCGGCCTTTTGTCAGCTGACGTGCGCGCCTGAATCTACTGGAGAGCTTCTGTGCGGCTTTGACGGGCCTGCTTGGAGTCGTGCAAGAAAACTGCACGTTTCGGGCCGTGGTATGTGGAAGTGCATCCTTCAGCTTTTGAATGTCACATGGTGACCATGTGGCGGCGTCCTTCAGAAGCTGGACCTCCAAGGATCTCTGTCTCTGTTACCTCATAAGAGCCATAAGAACCCAGGTCGGGCGGCATTCCCAAGGCGGCCTCCTTGAAGCTTGGTTGCCTGATTCACAGCAGCCTGGAGCCCAGAAGTGCCAGATTCGCTGTAGGCTGCAGAAGTCCATTGCATTCCAATGCATAGCAGCCGTGGGGATACCGACTGGGGCCCAGGCGAGCTTGCATTTCACGGCGGGCACTGCAGGCCTCAGGAATTTACCGTGAGAGTCCAGGAAATCAATGGAATCATCCGCGATGCAGTCACCATGCCAGATCTCTTGGGCCAGCAAGTGCGAAGATGCTCCGAGCACAGCGTCGGAACTGAAATGAATAAAACATCAACTCCTCCGAAGTTGCATCTTGCGAGGTCACCATACTTTCGCACGGTACCAATCCACTGCTTCGAGCCGAGAAGCCGTCAGGGGTAGATCACGCTGGCAAGATGCAGCTTCGGCAACCTGTGCTTGCACTCAGGCTCGTGGATGGCATCTTGCTTCCTCGAGGCACTTGTGCACTGGTTGTTCAGCTGGCCTCATGTACAACTCCAGCTTGAGGCTGCTCGACAACTCTGAAAGCCGGCTCGGAGATCACCTTCCGATATGAGCTGTGTGCCTGGGACTTGGCATCCCTTGGCGCCTTCTGAACCGTACATCTCCGAACAACATTGGAGCCCAAGTCGAATCAGCTTTACTTGAGAGATCTTAGAAGACAGATGGCTGAAGAAAGGCTCTGTGCTGCAGAACTGCAAAGCGAGGTGTTGCTGCGGCTCCGCTTTGTGGCCGCTCGGACCCAACTGTCAGAATATTTGAGAACGAGGTCTGTCAATTTGCGTCCTTGAGGGTTCACAAAAACTCAGGCCGTGGCACAGGAAGTTAAGCCGGCTAAGCTTCAAGCAGCTTCGATGCCTCTGCCCTGGTGTAAAGACCATGATTCTGCGTGTGGCAGCTAGTGAGCCTTCATCTGGGCGCCATCTCATGGTCCTCAGCATGCGCAGATTCGCAGAGCATGGGGGGTCCATACGAAGGTCCAGATTGGCGGAGGAGTTCAGCGAAGCCGGGAGCCAGGAAAGAAAAGATCAGAAGAGAAATACAGAGAGCGAAAGAGCAGCGAGAATGGCTGTGCTCCCGAGCACGTTCCCGAACTGAGCAGGCTCGCAATGGTGCCACGGTGCCAGGCGCCGTTGTAAGATTTGCCGATGTACTCTAACATGCCACAGATGCAGGTTTTGTCTGAAGATCGCTGCCATCTACAGAATCTACAGTCTAGGGAGTCTAGACCTCAGAATTCCGGCGCGCCTCCATAGTCGGCACACCGCCCAGAATGGTTCTGATTTAATGCTGGCTATCTTCCCAGCTTGCCGAGCGGATGTCGGGCAAAATGCTTGGAGTCCGGAATCGCTACACCTCGAAAATTCGACTCTGTGGGCAAGCAGGGAATTGGCAAGAAGCATTGCTGCTGTTCATCCACCTAATCGAAAGCAATGTGCAGCCAGACGAAGTCGCTTATGGGGCATTGATTTATGCATGCGGCAAAGGGAGGCATTGGGGCAGGGCAACCATTTCACTTGCAGCCGCACGAGCGCAAGGCTTGCAAGATGATATTGTCTCTCAAAACTCTGTAATCAGCACTTGTGGAAAAGATTTGGAGTGGACTGCAGCTCTGTGCCTTCTTGCCGCCATTGAAGCTAGACGGCTTCAGGCAGATAGGATTTCTTTCAACTCTGCGATCAATGCATGTGGCGACGGAAGCCGGTGGGAATGTTGTGTGAATTTGATGGACGAGCTCGACCATGTTCTGAGGGTTAACATCGTCACTCTGAACTCTGTTATGAGTGCATGTGCTGAGGCTAGCAAGTGGCAGGCTGCGCTCTGCATCATTGCACTTCTAAGACATGGACGGACCCAGGCAGACACCATATCATTCAACTCGTGCATGAATGCTTGTGGTAAAGCCAGTGAGTGGCAGATTGCCCTGGGCCTTTTGGGTGAGTTGCAGTATGCCAGACTGCAAGCAAACCTGATCTCCTATGTGTCAGCAATTGACGCCTGTGACAGGGGCTTCAAGTGGGAGCTGGCCATGGCTTTACTAACAGAGCTGGTGCGAGTTCACCTGCGCATGACCACTATTTGCTTTAATTCAAGCATAAGTGCATGCGCTCAAGCAGGCCAGTGGCAAGTTGCCTTGGAGTTAATACAAAGCATTGAGCGCTCCCACCTGCGAGCGAGCACCAGTTCATATAATTCTATAATGAGTTCGGCCGGTGATGCGGGTCTTTGGACGATTGTTTTGTCCACCCTGTCAACTCTCTCGCACAAGAGTCTCGAGCCTGACACAATCTCCTACAATTGCTGCATCAGTGCCTTTGGAAGAGTTGTCCAGTGGCAGATGGCACTACACTTTCTTGCCCAGCTTGACACTGCAGGTCTCGACCCAACTGGCATCTCCGTGTCTTCAGCCATCAGTGCCTGTGAGTACGGCCTGCAGTGGCAGATGGCGCTTTGCCTCGTTGAGTTTATGGAGTTGAGACGACTGCTGGCAAACCTTGTGGTGTATAACTCTGCAATACAAGTGTGCAGCCAAGTTGCTAGGTGGGAGGCTTCACTTGCGCTGATGAGAAACATTTGGTTCCAACAGCTCCAACCAGACCTGATTTCATACAACTCTGCCATCAGTGCATGTGGCACAGGGGAGAATTGGCAGATGGCATTCCTATTGCTGCGAGCGATCGAAGACAGCCGACTCCAAGCAGATGCGGTTTCGTACAACATGCTTACTGCTGCCTGTGGAGCTGGGCACCAATGGCAACAAGCTGTGCTTCTCCTTGCGGTGATGGAATCTAGAAGCATCGCGGTCAAGGGGATAACTTTTGAATCTGTAGTCCATGCTTGCATTTCGTCCGGGCAGCGGCCCATGGCGCTGCGTTTGACGGAAATACTGGAGACCACAGTAAGGCATCTTCTAACAAGAAACCAGGCAGCATGGTGTCTACTTGTGACGATGCGAGCTCGAGCCAGCCTGCATGTTTTTTAGTGCTATAGGCTCTGGACTGCTTGAGTTCCTGCCGCGAGCTTTGTGTGCAAGGTGTATGCAGGGCACATGGCCCTACTGAAGTGGAGAGGTCCTGCGTCCATGCAGTGGCAGCTTCCATTGATCCTGCAATGGGCCATGTTGGGCCAGTTGTCGTTTGGCAGATTTGATATCTTTGGAGGCTGCGGGAAAACACCGCATCAACTGAGGACTGCGAGGACCCCACACGGTGATGCACACAGGAGGCACAGCATGTTGTCTTTCACTGCTTTTTGGGAGGCTGAAGACGTTGTGGCCAAGCTCCGCTGCACAAAAGCTGAGGCCATGTCTGCCTTGCATGCAGAAGTACTTCAGAACTGTTGAAACTTACTGAAAGTCCTGAGTAGCTCATGCTGTTCGAACAGGGCCTCCACAAAGGGTACCTGGCGGCGAAGTTCTCAGAAGCTGTACTCAGTGCACAAGTTGGGCAATGTAATGCAAAGCAACGCAATGCAAAGCGATGCAATGCAACGCAATGCAATCCAACGCAATGCAATGCGACGCACCGCAATGCAATCCAATGCCACGCAATGCAACGCAACGCAACGAATGCAATGCAATGCAGTGCAACGCCACGCAATGTAATGACATGCACCGCAATGCAGTTGCAAAGCAATGCAATGCAGTTGCAACGCAACGCAGTGCAGTGATGTGCAATGCAAGGCATTGCAAGGCAGCGCAGTTCCATGCAAGGCAATGCAACGCAATGCAACGCAATTCAATGCAACGCAAGCAACGCAATGCAATGCAATGACGCAATTCCGCGCAACGCAACGCAACGCAATGCGTCGTGAGGCAGGGTGGTCCGGCTACAAGTAATTACTTTGCCAGTCGAGGCCTTGCCCAGCTCGCTGCGAGATGTGGCTCTGCCTGGAGCTCTGAGAAGGGTGGGTTGTTGATACATTTTTTCACATGCACATCGATGCTCACACACGCACATTGATCGAAAGGTTTGTGTGTGTGTGTGTGATTTGTGTGTGTGTGATCTGTCAAGATTGACCATTTCGCATCAGGCCTCTTTGAACTCCCAATGTCTTGGATGGCATACCATGGCGCGAACAACCATTGCGAGTCCTGAGAAAGAATCGCGAAGCTCCAACTGCCCCCCTCTGCGAAAGTCGGCGATGGGCCCGCGGATGTACACAGAATCGCGACGCCTTCCACGCCCAGAGGAAAGCATTCTTCACTCAACGACTGCGTGTGCAGACAGACAAGACATTGGATTTAGGGGTGTCGTTTGGTCTAGATCTCAATATGACTGCTGACATGCCTGGGTGGGGGAGAATGAGAGAATCAGCTAGGCAAGGCCCGGAGGAACCTGAACGAAACGATGCTGTGTACGAAGATTCCGATTCCCCTGACAGTTCGAAATAAATAGTAGTCGTATTCTATCTGATTCTATCTAGATCAAGGAAGTGGCTCAGATCTACGCATCGTCTGTGCCAGAAGTGCAATAAGCGACCCCAAACAAAAGCAGTCAAAAAGCAAGCCGCGGAGTCTCTGATGTTCAGGCTGCTTATTTGCAAGTGGAAACTGTTGAAGCATTTCCAAGTAAGGGAGGAGTATCTAGGCAAGTCCTCGTCAGGAAAAGGCTATGACTGGAATAGGAATCCAGCAAGTATTGCGCAGACATTTCTCGGCACACTCGGTCGGTTCATTCTCTGTTCGCCAGAATTACAAGGTACTTTGGGTGCCTGTTTGCTAATAACTTAGTTCTACAGTGCATGGGAGTCTTGTGAAGCCGACTGCGCACCAGGCACGCGGGACGCAACCTCGTGGGACGACATTACCAGCAACAATTGTTTGAGGCACGGACGGCTGCACGCCGGAGGCATGCCTGGCCGCCGAACTTTGTGATGCTTTGCAGCGCATGCCTGGCAGGCATTGCTGTGTCCACTCGAACGGCTGAATGTCTCGCTGGCGTGCCCAGGGTGCTGTAGGATTTGCATAGACAGCCCAAAAGAACCCCAGAGTTAACATGGAGCTTTGCACTGCGCGATGCTTGACACATGCTGGCATTGCAGCTTGATGATCCTATTTAGGCATTGCCATCTTTGGTTGGATGTGGTGCCGAAGCACTCGGGGCACGCTATGCGAGTCACCAACCTTAGCCTGCAGCTCAGACGAGTTCAGCACTCGCCATGTCAGATTGGGTGATGCAATGCTTAGAAATGATTGAGGCTCAACTTTGGAGATCTTCGTGGGGGAGGTCTAGCCATAGTTCAACAGTCCCACGGCCCCCGAGAGAGCAAAATTTTCCATTTTCTGCAGCAGGAGCATGTGCCCAAAGACCGGACTGCTTGCCTTCAAGACGGAGAGGTAGCCACAGCCGGGATACAACTGAGATGCAATAGCTGCCACACTGTGACACCCTGTTAGCAAACAGTTTCCAAAGCAAAGCTGACTGCACTTCAAGGCCATTGTAAAACTCACATGACCTGTCAGGTACTGAGCTTTGCCAAAAGAAATGGTTCTGGGCCCCATGGCTTGAACTGGTGCCATCTTGCATCTATCAGTAGCTATCTATCGGCTGTGCTCATCTCATGCAATGCCCCAGCGAGCCAGCGCAGCTTTCTTGAATATGGTCATGCACAGCTAGTGCCTACCGACGCGCGCATATGCTCTAGCTTCATCTTGGCACTACGTAAACCCGTAGGCCTTGCTGGGAAAACCATCGGGCTGTCGAAGCGCGACGTGCGTCTGGTGATGTCGCAGATGCAAAGGCCACAACATCACAACGTTGGCAACCCCCCTCCCACCCCTTCATGCAGCCTTCATTGCCAAACCAGCGAAAGGCCCGTTCTGTAATGAGACTGTTCTACGAATGCTACTCAGGGACTTACACCTTTGTTTTTGTTCTAGAAGCGAAGCAAAGCTGCTTGACATATCCTGCCCCTTATGAATGCCCTTTGACCAGCGAGAATCCAAAGGGCGCTCCCAGCTCCGAAACGCCGACCTGAAACTCCTGGCAACTAGCGCGTTGCCATATTGTTAGACGTCTGTTTTGAAAGGAAGGGAGTGGTTGGGTGGGCATGGAGGGCTTAGCCTAAACAAACACCCCGAGACCCGAGCTGAGACAACATCGTATCTGCGACGATGTTGCCGACTTTACTGTCGCAAGATAGGTGTGTGTGTGTGTGGGACACGTCTCAAATTGCCCCTGCACTGGATGCATTCTTCAACAATGGGCACAAGGCATCTTGAATTGAACCTTGACGTACTTGCCACTCAGACATGTTCAGCATGTTGGGCACTCACCTGAAGGAATACGGAACACTGCTAGAAGGCGTTATCGAGGCGCTGGCCTTCGGCAATCGAGACATGCTCTCCGGACCGTGTGTTGATTGCGGGCTTCGCTCGGGCAGCTATTGTGACAGTCTTGGGGTGCACGGCTACCGTTCGGCTGTCCAACGAACAATTGGGTTCAAGGCCACGTGACTCTTTTGTGCACACAGAATGCAAACACCACACAGCGGTGTGTCATTTCTGCCGGGACCAGGTCAGACGCGCTCTAAATTCGCCACTCTCTGCACAGCCAGCGTGGAGGAATGCTGCGCGACTGTGACACGCGCTTTGTCCACGTCCGGATCGCCAAAGGAAGCGGGCACGGCGGCCGCTTCCCGAAACAGGTCGTCGGCGCCAGCGCGAGTCGACCCCTCCATCTGCTCCTTTTCCGGTAAATCCATCTTTTCGGTCAGCAAGTCTTGCATCTCCGCGGTCCCCCTGATCGAGCATGCGGAGAAAGCTGATCATATGCTGCAAGATGGAGTCGTGGATCCTGATGCGACGACGTCAACTGATCAGTAGAACGAAACATCGCCGGAGACACTGGCCGACCCAGATGCTTCGGATCAGGCAACTCCTCTTCTGCGACTGTTCGGTCCCTAGATTTTGCGGCGTTTTGCGGGCGCTCTGAAAAGTTCGTCGCTTGCCGAGAGTCGTGGCAATGCCCGCATGCATCGACCGCCAAGATTCGGCCCCGGGTTTGTTATGGTGCCTGCTTACCCCCGACTGGGTCGGAGTGATTCAGCAGGGCCCCCATGTGTACGGGCGTACCTGCATGCCATCCAAGAAGGGCACACGCTGAACTCGCGCGAAGGTTTGGCTTATGGACCAGACGAACTGAACATTCCAGTAGTTACATCAGCCAAAGCTAGCCAAGTCTCAACCATCGGATCTTACATTTGTAAGGCAAGGATTCTGCCATTGGTGTCCCGCTGCATCACTGCAAGTCTGCGCATATGAATTCTGATTGACACTGAGGTTTCTCCACCTACTTGCCTTCCAGGCTCGTTTGTTGAGCTTCTGGGCTCAGCACAGGTTGACGCGATTGGGCATTGCAGAAATCCGCAGCCTGACTTCTTCCGTGGTAGGCGCAGGCTAAGAATCCTGCTGATGCAGGAGAGTCTGGATCCAAGCTGCACCTGTCCGAGCATTTTCCTCAGCAATGAAAGTCTCTCGTACCGAGCATTACGAGGTATCCACCAAATGCGCTCAAAGAGGGACGGAAGGAGTCGGCACATCGAAGCAACATCAAACAAGCACTTGATGGATATTGCGTCAATCAGCTGCAGGGAAGTTGGAACATCATGTATCACTGAACTTACGAAGCAGTTGTACTGTTGCTGTTAGTGGTTCCGCCCGGTTCGCAGCAACTAAGACAGCCGAGACAGCCCGTCGCGATTGCCGAACCGGTCTCAGTATCTTCAGAGGCTGCGCCGACAAATGTGAGTCCGTATGCCGTGCGATGGCATGAAGGGTTACATTGGGTTCGGCCACAGCATGCTGCAGTTTCAGGGTCGGCTAAGGTTTCTGGCAGAGCTGAGTCCCAGCCCGAGAAGAGTGGACAGCACTCCAGGATTACCACATGTTCCATGCTGCAGGACGTAGCTCGCAGTGTAGCTCCATAGATCATATAGATCTCTGCAGGTGATGGCCCTTTGAACTTGGCTCAATGCAACTGTGACGATTGCCCTTCAGATTGAACAAGCAACCCTTGCAACTTCCAGCTTGAAGCATCGTAGCAGAAACATACGGTTGGTGTCACATCTTTCGTGTCCAGCGTTGGATGATTTTGAGTCAACATGAGACATGCAGTGGGCTGGCAAGCAGCTGAAGCGCCTGTTCCAGCCGAAGTTGCTGAGTTGCAATAGGGCAGAACTTCCTTGACTGTGCGTGTAGCGACTAGCTGCCCCCATGAAGGAAAAGCTTCAAAGCGCGTCATCTATCATGTCGAGGGATCCACACTGCTCCCAGGCCGGCTGAGGAGGTCTCTCCTCGCCGCCCCGCGGCCGAGGCAATTTTCGTCGCAAGTCTCTGCCGACGTTCCATCGTCACATGTCTGGAGCAGGCTCATCCACAGGAGTCCCGATCAAAGGAGCAGCTGAAAGAGGAGGTGCCGCTCCATGGGCTCCGTCATCGCTTCTCTTGCATCAGTTTGGAATCACGTCAGGCAGTGAGGCTGAAGAGCCAGCTGGATGCGTTGACAGCTGGCCTGGAGGTCTCTGATCCTCGGGCTGCATCTCCTCATGGACAAGTCACTACTTGACTTCCATGAGTTTCCATGGCCTGAGGTTGTAAATGGAACTTGGGTTCAGCGCTTCATAGATCTCCACCAACAACACCTGGAGACTCCTCGCTGCATGTCAAGATGCAACAGGCTGCAACAGATGCCATGTCCTGTGTAATGGAAAGCTCAACAGCTAGGCTTGACTGAGGATTGGCTGCCGATTGGAAGATGGCACAGTGAATGTCCAAGCAGAGGTGAGGCGGCTGTGCCTGTTCAGCACTGGAATACGCGTTTGGCCTTTGACCAGTGGCACAGCCTCTGCTGCCTGGTGGCACAATTACCCTTGCTGTTCCGGATGAGCGAGGCAAAGCGTCCTCTCCCATTCCAAAGTTGTAGCAGCTCTGGACAAACCCGGGCTGTACCGCGGACGCACCGGCCACCTAGGCGCTGTTGTACACACCCGGCTGACCTGTCTGCAGAGCGACAAACAGGGCACGCAATAGCAACGACAATGACTTTCCCAGACTGCTGCACAGGGCCAGATCCCGTTCAACGTCGCACAGAAGTCTTGAACTACGGTCGCCACCTCGGTTCACCGGTTCACCTCTCGTGCGCTCTCTGATCCCTGCATATCCCTGCCCCATGCAGCTTGCACAGACAGATACAGACAGGCAGGCTTGGCATGAGCACTTGCGCATCTTGTTACTGTTGTTCTTCTTTGGGGGGGGGGTGGGGGGGGGTTGCTTCTGCAGATCATGTAGGTTTGGACGAAGCTGCTCGGCTGCAAATGACGAGCTGTGTGTGTGTGCGCCCTGACTATACCTACTTTGTACTACTTGTGACGTAATTGGCGCATTGATTTGCCTTGGTTCGTTTTTGCGATTCTTCTGATTGCCACTTTCCAGGCGAGTTTTTTAACTGTCGCTGTTGACTCGGCGCATGTGACAGCCAAAGCAGAATTGTTAGGGCAACCAAACCTCTCGGCCTCACATGCTTTGTGCCATTGTGAGAGCCGAAACCTCTTGGCAGAGCTAGATTGAAGTGGCTGCGCTCATGTCCAGCGCCCAAGGACAGTGATGAGGCAAGGTCGCAAGAAAACCTCAGCGACCGAACATTTGTTTCTTCGTGCGTGTGTCATGATACCAGCATGTGCTCACCCTTGCTGTGGGCTTCTGCCAGGCATTGCCTGGTGGCCAGAAAAGACAAGAGCATCCTGCAGCGAGTCTCCGACAATTTGGAAAGCCTTGTTGTGCGAGCTCATTGTTCTGTTTCAACAAGTTGGGGGCACTAAGAGAATTTCAACATTCCTTGCCAACGAGGACGGACTCCCAGCAGGACCATGGCTGCCACGGCTGCTGTTATGTTGCCCAAAACTGTAAACACTGGACTCGAAATCGAGAAACCCTCTCGGTGTTTCCGCGGATCCTAGGCACCCTGACAGCCCCGTCAGTGCTTCCGGCGTGCCTGTGATGCTATCACCTTTCACATGTAGGGTCCCCGCGAACATCAAGAGCATTCCAAACATCGCCAAGCATAAGCCATCGGCGGGTGCCAAATCTCGCTCTCGCCAAGCCAGTGTGCACATTTTGGGGCGTTGAACTTGGAGGTTCAAGTTTTGGGTGCTCTTCGAGTTTTTGAGTGGTCTTGGCATGCTTTTGGGCTATTGGGGCGCTCTTCGAGTGTTCTTTTAGGGAACTCTTGGAATGCTCTTGAACTGGCCTCGCATTGTTTGAGGTCGACTCCGGCATAATGTCGCAGGGTTGGTTCGGGTATGCGGGGAGATGTGACGTCACGGGCACAGTGCACAGGCCTTCGTATGCCACCCGTGCAGTGAAAGCCCACATTGGCACATGCCGGCATGGCACTTGCATTTCACAGGATCACGACGATCTGGAGCGCACGTATGATGCCTTCGATAGTTTTCGCACACCAGGCGGGTTAGTCAACAGTTTGGGTTGCCTTGTGATGGCTGCAGCTCGAACAGAACTTAAACGCTATGCAACCCCGCCTCGGCCTGGGCCTGCCGGCGAGGCAACCCAAAGCGGAGATCGCGGTGTGGTTATCGTCAGGGCTTTTGAGAGGCTTTGTGCAATCGTTCTCTTTTGGGGGTGCTGTCGTCTCACATACAAACTCACCCCCAAGTGCGAAAGTGCCAAGACCAGAAATACAGGGTAAGGTAGTTTTGATGGGTGGGTTAAGAGGCGGGGGGGGGGGGGGGGGGCGCCGTCCGCTCCCGGACACGGGCTAGGGAAATCTATGCCGTTGGGGAGGGGACTACAACCTGCTTTATGCTCCCCATACACCTACGGCCCACGGCCTCGGCGGATTAACATCCACCAAAGCGCCCGAGTCTCTGGCTTCCAAGCAGCTTTTCAGCCACTGCATCAGGTGAAGCTCGCACGTTTCAACCACCGAAGCGGAATGCAAGTCAGGCCTGGGTGACCGCTCACACGCTTCCATCAAAGAATGAAGTAGCTGACGCAATAAGAATGCCAAACAGGCGCGTGAGGCAGAAGAAGAGAGACAGGCCAGAGACGCGGAGGAAGCAGCAGCACGCAAGGCGGAAGAAGATCGACTAGCCAAAGAGGAAGCAGCGCGCAAAGAGGAAGAAGAGCGACAGGCCAGAGAGGCGGAGGAAGCAGCAGCACGCAAGGCGGAAGAAGATCGACTAGCCAAAGAGGAAGCAGCGCGCAAAGAGGAAGAAGAGCGACAGGCCAGAGAGGCGGAGGAAGCAGCAGCACGCAAGGCGGAAGAAGATCGACTAGCCAAAGAGGAAGCAGCGCGCAAAGAGGAAGAAGAGCGACAGGCCAGAGAGGCGGAGGAAGCAGCAGCACGCAAGGCGGAAGAAGACCGACTGGCCAAAGAGGAAGCAGCACGCAAGGCGGAAGAAGAGCGACAGGCCAGAGAGGCGGAGGAAGCAGCAGCACGCAAGGCGGAAGAAGATCGACTGGCCAAAGAGGAAGCAGCACGCAAGGCGGAAGAAGATCGACTAGCCAAAGAGGAAGCAGCGCGCAAAGAGGAAGAAGAGCGACAGGCCAGAGAGGCGGAGGAAGCAGCAGCACGCAAGGCGGAAGAAGATCGACTGGCCAAAGAGGAAGAAGAGCGACAGGCCAGAGAGGCGGAGGAAGCAGCAGCACGCAAGGCGGAAGAAGATCGACTGGCCAAAGAGGAAGAAGAGCGACAGGCCAGAGAGGCAGAGGAAGCAGCAGCACGCAAGGCGGAAGAAGATCGACTGGCCAAAGAGGAAGCAGCGCGCAAGGAGGAGGAAGAGCGACAGGCCAGAGAGGCGGAGGAAGCAGCAGCACGCAAAGCGGAAGAAGATCGACTTGCCAAAGAGGAAGAAGAGCGACAGGCCAGAGAGGCGGAGGAAGCAGCAGCACGCAAGGCGGAAGAAGACCGACTGGCCAAAGAGGAAGCAGCGCGCAAGGAGGAAGAAGAGCGACAGGCCAGAGAGGCAGAGGAAGCAGCAGCACGCAAGGCGGAAGAAGATCGATTGGCCAAAGAGGAAGATGAGCGACAGGCCAGAGAAGCAGAGGAAGCAGCAGCACGCAAGGCGGAAGAAGATCGACTGGCCAAAGAGGAAGCAGCGCGCAAAGAGGAAGAAGAGCGACAGGCCAGAGAGGCGGAGGAAGCAGCAGCACGCCAGGCGGAAGAAGACCGACTGGCCAAAGAGGAAGCAGCTCGCAAGGAGGAAGAAGAGCGACAGGCCAGAGAGGCGGAGGAAGCAGCAGCACGCAAGGCGGAAGAAGATCGACTAGCCAAAGAGGAAGCAGCACGCAAGGAGGAAGAAGAGCGACAGGCCAGAGAGGCGGAGGAAGCAGCAGCACGCCAGGCGGAAGAAGACCGACTGGCCAAAGAGGAAGCAGCTCGCAAGGAGGAAGAAGAGCGACAGGCCAGAGAGGCGGAGGAAGCAGCAGCACGCAAGGCGGAAGAAGATCGACTAGCCAAAGAGGAAGCTGCGCGCAAGGAGGAAGAAGAGCGACAGGCCAGAGAGACGGAGGAAGCAGCAGCACACAAGGCGGAAGAAGATCGACTGGCCAAAGAGGAAGCAGCTCGCAAGGAGGAAGAAGAGCGACAGGCCAGAGAGGCGGAGGAAGCAGCAGCACGCAAGGCGGAAGAAGAACGTTTAGCCAAAGAGGAAGCAGCGCGCAAGGAGGAAGAAGAGAGACAGGCCAGAGAGGCGGAGGAAGCAGTAGCACGCAAGGCGGAAGAAGATCGACTGGCCAAAGAGGAAGCAGCGCGCAAGGAGGAGGAAGAGCGACAGGCCAGAGAGGCGGAGGAAGCAGCAGCACGCAAGGCGGAAGAAGATCGACTGGCCAAAGAGGAAGCAGCGCGCAAGGAGGAAGAAGAGCGACAGGCCAGAGAGGCGGAGGAAGCAGCAGCACGCAAGGCGGAAGAAGATCGACTGGCCAAAGAGGAAGCAGCACGCAAGGAGGAGGAAGAGCGACAGGCCAGAGAGGCGGAGGAAGCAGCAGCACGCAAGGCGGAAGAAGATCGACTGGCCAAAGAGGAAGCAGCGCGCAAGGAGGAAGAAGAGCGACAGGCCAGAGAGGCGGAGGAAGCAGCAGCACGCAAGGCGGAAGAAGATCGACTGGCCAAAGAGGAAGCAGCACGTAAGGAGGAAGAAGAGCGACAGGCCAGAGAGGCGGAGGAAGCAGCAGCACGCAAGGCGGAGGAAGATCGACTGGCCAAAGAGGAAGCGCGCAAGGAGGAAGAAGAGCGACAGGCCAGAGAGGCGGAGGAAGCAGCAGCACGCAAGGCGGAGGAAGATCGACTGGCCAAAGAGGAAGCGCGCAAGGAGGAAGAAGAGCGACAGGCCAGAGAGGCGGAGGAAGCAGCAGCACGCAAGGCGGAAGAAGAACGTTTAGCCAAAGAGGAAGCAGCGCGCAAGGAGGAAGAAGAGCGACAGGCCAGAGAGGCGGAGGAAGCAGCAGCACGCAAGGCGGAAGAAGAACGTTTAGCCAAAGAGGAAGCAGCGCGCAAGGAGGAAGAAGAGCGACAGGCCAGAGAGGCGGAGGAAGCAGCAGCACGCAAGGCGGAAGAAGAACGTTTAGCCGAAGAGCAAGCAGCTCGCAAGGAGGAAGAAGAGCGACAGGCCAGAGAGGCGGAGGAAGCAGCAGCACGCAAGGCGGAAGAACAGCGATTGTTAAGAGAGGCTGAGGAAGCAGTACCGAAACCCCAAGAAGCAGCGCCTCAGGCAAAAGGAGAGGCTTCTCGGACATCACAAGCAGAGGAGCCAGTCGAAGAGTCGCATGGATGGGAAGTGGAGCGGCTAGCTGCAGCGATAGAGAAGACGGTGCCCGAGGTGGATGGGGATGGAACTGATTACCGAGCAAAACTGAGCATGCAGATTGTTGCACTATGTCACTATGTTGCATCTGGCGAGGTGCTACACGCTTTGCCCAAAGACCAGATGTTGCAATTTATGTTCCACGTGGCAGGTGAATAATCGATAACTCACAGAAATCACATCCAGTTGGGCTTCTTGCCGACAACGTTGTTCAGAAAACAAGACCTGTTCACAAGACACGATTTGCCCAATGACGAAAGCGACTTGCAAGACGCCCAACCTTGGAATTCAGCAGGCGCTTCATCAACAAGTTTGCCGAAAGTACGGGATACGAAACGCGTCAGAAGTTCATAAAGCAACACTGATGCTAAGACGATGGGCGTGAAGCGTTAATTGGTTTGGCCTGCGAGTTTAAACTGTGCTGGCAAGTGCAGGTGCAAACCAATTTCGATGCCAATTTGTGGTGTAGCCCAGCCCTTCTGCAGCACAGTTAATGCAGCATTGCGACTCCAGACGTTGCCCAGAGCGCCACGTGAAAACGTTGGAATCGGTACATGAGTTCGAAATTAAAGACGCACCAGCCCCAGCGAGCCGGACACAGAACTGGAGCAGTCATGATATGGGGCGACTTCGAAGCGAGATAGGAGTGATATGACCTTTTTTGTCCATCCTATGACGACCTTGGGGGCGATCTGCGATACTTGTCCCGGAAGCGACGTCTTGGCTTCGGCACATTGATGGGCTTACGCGGGTGACAACGCAAATCACTTCAAAGCCTGTCGAGGCAATGGATGGGTCGCAGCCGGCGCAAGCTGCACTGGAAGCGGAGGAGGCTCTCCAGCCATCGTCAGCCACGTCATGAGCGCACGTTGAAAGCTTGCCTTAGTGAAACAGGCTGGATATGGCTGGATGTAATTTTGCTGAGGACTTGCTCGGCGGCCCGAGTGTGAGTTCGCGACCCACAGACTGGGGCAACGTCGAGGCAGTTCCCATGGGTCCATGATGGTCCACACATAGTTTGTGGAACCCAGCAGGACTGCACAACAGCGGAAGCCCAAAAGCGAAGCGAGAACTTGTGCCAGGATTTGCTGGGCATCAGCAGTCCCAGCGCGCCGACGACTACGATGGAGAAGGAGCTTCTGGAGTAAAGCGAGTAATGGGGGCCAAACTGGGCAAAGATCAGGCTAAGTGCCGCATCGCCGTCCTCGGTTGCAATGCGCCTCCGCAGGATGACGGCGGTGCCCTAGAACCGCCTTCGGCTCCCCCTCAGGCTGGGTAACTGAGGTGGCAAAAGAAAGAGTGACATACTAAGTGAAGCCCTTGCAAGACAATGCAAGACACCCGTTGCAGGAGTTGCTGCAAGCGACAGCGACAAGTGACGTACCCGAGAAGTCGACGACACTGACACTAGAGTCGGATGAAGAGGACATGCAAGCAGTAGCCAGACAATGCATGCCTGATATCTTTGATTCTGCCTTCCTGGTGCATTTTATGACGGGGTGAAGAGTTACCACGGCGCAATATCGAATCATCAAGATACGAAATTACTGAAGAAAATTGCTTGAAGGGAACCTGGTGGAAGACCATGCTGCCATATCTTTTAATGGCAGCATGAAGATAGGCAGGACGAGAGGCATGACACTCGTAGTGGTGAGCATATGATAAAGTTTGATAGGTTCGCCTTGCAAGAAGTCAGTAGCACATGCTTGTTGAGTATCCTGGGAATAGAGGAGGACACCACCTTCCGCCTCAACGCCTTGCGATAGTTCAGAAACAACCAAGAGAGCTATGCGTGACAAGATGTGAGAGAGCTGGCACGTGTTGTCCTATTTGGCCCAGATGGAATTGCCCTGAGACTTCAACTTCACTGCATCCCGTGTGTGCCTGCGTTGAGGACCTCTTGGGTGGCACAAGCATTGCAAATCGGCCGCTTGCCACATCTGCCGATGACGACTTGCTGCTCTGAAGCGCACCTCATACCGTAGCCAGCTGATTCTGCTGTCCCGAAACGGCAGAACATGGATGGCCATACATCCTTAGCTTCATGTTTCACATGGTCGGGATGCCTAACCTCGACGTTTTTCGCTGGCGCAAAACATTAGTGTAGGTCACGTGCGCACTGCCTTGCTGTGAAAACTCGTTGCCAACTGCTGGGGAATGGAGTGGGTCAGCACGTGCCAAGGCCACTCCCATTGGCGCGAGAGGTGAAAGCATATGGCATGATGCCTAGCATGCGCATGTTGCGAATGCACACGTAGGTATCTTTACGGTGAGTCAACAAAGAAAGCATCCGAAGGTCACCAAGCATTGCCCGATGGTCGCCTTGTGCACTACAGAGAGAGCGCTTCCGACTGAACTTCTCACTTTGCCATCCGAGGCTCCACTCCGTCCACTCCGCCCAGGCGTGGCTGATCGTGGTTGAGTTGGATAGCTTTTGAAGCCCTTTGAAGCCCTTTGAAGCCCTTCGAGCCTCTTGAGATCTTTCGAGCCGGGCCATGCTTAAGCTGCTCCCTTTTGTGTGTGCACAATGTCACCACTCAAAACTAAAGCTTTTTTGGCACTCGGGCGCAGAACACGTGCCTCCATGAAATGGGCGCCCAAGGCCCATAAATGTCCGTAAGACGACTACCTCGTGTCAGGTCTTGAAATGGCATGTGTGTGGACCAGGGTTGCGTGAGATAGTGTTTGTTGATTTCTGCTTTAGCTAACGCATAAATATATAACCCTTTACACTACACTCTTTGTCCACAGCCCTAAACCCTTTACCCTAAAGCTTCCGAACCCCAACCCTAAACCTAAACCCGTTACCCTAAACCCTTACAAAACCCAAATAAGAAAATTGGGTTCAAAGTAGCGGCGCGACAAACGTATGAAACAACCTGCCCGCGACAAGGCTTGTAACAGAGGGGGTGGGGGACCCCCCGTGACAACCCGAATTTTGAACCACTGCCATCAATGCATTGTCTCTCTTTCATTTTTTATCGCTCGCTCACTCTCGCTCGCTCTATCTCTTCTCCTGTCCTGCTCTCTGTCTCTCTTATCTCTCTCTCTCCCTCTCCCTCAGTCTGGGCTCTCTGGCTTGTGCCATGATGCCCAAGCCCCAGTGCACTACAACGCACGCCAAGCCTTCCAAAAAGTTAAGTCGCGTCCAGAAACTGCCGAACTGCCCGAATTGCATTTTTGCGCACGTGCTGCCCACATGAGAGTGAATCGCCAGGCCGAGTCCACAAGGCAAGCCAGCTTTGTCGTGGATTTGTTATGATGACGCATGCCGTTGCGCGCTTCAACGTAGCAAGAGGGCGAACAGCAGGAGAATATGGTCTGAAGTGTCGGAAAAAATGAGATCTTAATTATCTAATTTCCGGTCTTAATTTTCCGGGCAAGCGCATGGAAAAATTCTGGCAGGATGGACTACCAGCGAGGCATCGGCCAAAGTTATCAAAAGCTGATTCGAGTAAGTCGGGAAATCTCTGTGTCGCTCTCTATGCTGAGTTGCCTGCTCTTGGGAACGAGACCACCAGGATCCATCAGGGGGCGAAATATCCTGTCGTCATCTGGACAGGACACCGCGGGCTCTTCTCCTGCGGTGGTTCTGGAGCTCAGTGGGGCCGGCACAAAGGACCTTAAACGAAGATCGAAGGGCCCTCCGGACTGCAGGTCGGACAGGTCTTGTCACGTCCAGCTCAGACTGATGAAATAAATCCAAGCTGGGTTGGTTGTATGGGGGCATCTTCCGAATGGCCCTGAGCCCTACATGCGAGGACCTGCCAGCGGAGAAGCGACGACTTGGGCCCATGACCTTGAGGCGGAAGCGTCGACTTAGCGATGTCATGTGGGAATGCATTTGCAAGACAAATGTGCAGGATCGCATCGGCAGGCTGATGTCTTGAATCTTGAAGCGTAAGATAACTGTGACCTGAAGCCATTCGTGTTGGAGTGATGTTGCTTTGTTTAGTCTACATTGTCCACAATCCTTGAGTTGTTTTCGGTTGATTCCACGGCTAGAGGTGTTTCTGGATGTGCAAGGCTTTCTGGAACGGATTTGTGTCAGGGAGGCGGTATATGTCAGGAGCAGGCAGAGAACATATGTGCCAGGAAAGGACCCTGGATCATGGGCCGCCGTCATCAACGGGAATTCTTGCCTCTCGGAGAGAAACGCAAACAAATTTGGAATTCAGAATGGAGGCATGCCTTCAGGTCCTCTTATTGAGGCAACTGACATGTTCAGACGATTCGCGCGGCAAGGACGATGCACTGATGTAGCAGATACGATATATCAATCTAGCTGTTTGTGGTGCTCTGCTTGATGCAACGTGCTGTAGCAAGATGTGCCCAGGCAGACAGTTGTGAAGGAAGACTGCATTGATTTCGTGAGTCGAGCGGGGCCTGGCTGTTCAGCAATGAGATTTCATCAGCATGAGAATCACGCATGCAAGCCTCCTGAGGCGACCACTTCGCCATTGCTTTTGAAGATGGGGCCTTTTTCCTGCTGGCCTTATCCCAAAACCGGATTTGGCTGGATGCGGGTAAGGACCTTGGAACAAGGAGCGCAGGGCTTTAGACACTGAAGGAAGGTACCGCGTGCCGACCAAGTCCCTGTTTCAGACTCTGCGCTGCCATCTCTTCAGGCAGGTTTGGGTCGCTTGGAATACTCGGATCGGCCGCTGTTCGCATGCAGTTGATACCAACCATGTCCAGCCTGCACGTTGACGAGAGGAGTCTCCACCGCGACGAAATGCTGTTGCTGAAGCCTGGGGGTCGCATCCTGCTCGGCACCAGCGAGGTGAGCGGATGCTATCTAACCATTCTGCCCCTTTACACCCATGCTCACAATCGCTCTCGCACCGCTAGGCCGGAACAGCCGAATCGCTGAGGCAAGGTCCCATGTCTCCATGAGACTTGAGGCCTGAATAGGTCATAGGAGTCATAGGCCAAGTTGGGAGAACCAGGGCCGGGGAAAGTCTCTGCGAGCTACAGCTGGGGAGCCACCTTTTCAGCAAAACCGCCCGGTGTTTTAGGTCGATTGCCTGCTGTCTGCGCTCTCCTTGGCCTACACGGTATTGTTAGCACAAAGGCAGTATGCCAGTGGCTTTGGTCACGTGTTATCTGCGGTCTACGCATGCGGAATTTGTCCACATCCCCGGCAACAACCGAAACATATAGCATTTGTATATATATATATATATATGCTACCCCCCCCCCCCCGTAGCGCCTAGGTTTTACTTAAAAAAGAGTGTGTTTTTCGTAGGATTTACAAAAAAACGTGTTTTTTGAATCGCATGAACGGAATGGAGGATACTGCCCACCACATAGGCGACAGACGCAGCAAGCAGTGCAACACGGCGTGCGACGGAATCATGTTACACGTGTTTTTGCTTCTGTGCTAGAAAAGACAGGCCTGTAATTAAACTTGTTCATACACTACATTAATTAAAACATAATGCGTAATAGGGAACCTGACCTAATGGCTTCACTTAAGCATTCATTGAGTGAGCTAAAACATGTTCCTTCTTCTTTTCGTGAACAAGCACAGTACTTAATTTAACTAAAGTTTTTCGTTTCTGGAAAATAACATACGTAAAGTCTTTCCAACAATTTGATTAGTCTTCTGAAGGGTTAGTAAATAAATTGAGTTCGTAGACCAATAATTAACTAAAGGAATTCAATGAACTAAACTTACTAAGAACAGTAACTACGGCCTTTTGTTTGCTGATATTACCCTAGTCAAAATCATTTCAATTGTGGATTTAGTTTACTTAAAGGTGAAGCAAATGAATGAAACTAATTAGTATACCCTTAGCTAAACGAATTCGATAATTTAAATTAAACAAGCCACGATCCTTAACAACAACTCAATTGGTTCAGCCTGACTAGACTAATTACTTTAAACGAATACGTTAAGAGGCCTTCCCAAGAAAAAACTACATTTAGTTTCTTATTCTAAGAGGTAGATAGCATTCAACTAACTAAATGTCTATCCTTTTTTTTACTTCAACCTCAACCAGACTAAATGAATCATAGTTGTAAAGCAAATTAGATTAATTAAAGCCTACTTATCAGGAAACTTGACCTCGTCGCGTCATTTAGGCAATAAAATGTTACTTACATCACAGTTTTTAACAAATAGTTGAATTAGCTTTATTGCTGCTGAACTGTGCTCTTTGAACAAACAAAAACCAATTCTGGAGGCCTATAATTACAAGGCAGGCCGTCACGAAAAGATTGGCTTATTAGGGACAGTACAGCACTTTGGGGATCTGAAGGGCTGAAAGTGCTGTACTGTCCCTAACAAAGCAATCCCAGAAGCGGAAAACGCTGTACTGTCCCTAAAAAACCTAAAAAACCAATTCTGGGGACCTGTACAGGCAGCCCCTCTTCAAAAGATTGGTTTTTTAGGGACAGCACAGCACTTTCAGCACCTCAGACCCTCAAAGTGCTGTACTGTCCCTAAAAAACCAATCCCATAAACATAAAGTGCCGTACTGTCCCTAAAAAACCTAAAAAACCATTTCTTGAGGCCTATACAGGTAGACCCTCACGAAAAGATTGGTTTTTTAGGGACAGTACAGCACTTTCAGCACCTCAGGCCTTCAAAGTGCCGCACTGTCCCTAAAAAACCAATCCCAGAAGCAGAAAGTGCCGTACTGTCCCTGCAAAACCTAAAAAACCAATTCTGGAGGCCTATACAGGTAGACAATCACGAAAAGATTGGTTTTTTAGGGACAGTACAGCACTTTCAGCACCTCAGGCCTTCAAAGTGCCGCACTGTCCCTAAAAAACCAATCCCAGAAGCAGAAAGTGCCGTACTGTCCCTAAAAAACCTAAAAAACCAATTCTGGAGGCCTATACAGGTAGACCCTCACGAAAAGATTGGTTTTTTAGGGACAGTACAGCACTTTCAGCACCTCAGGCCTTCAAAGTGCCGTACTGTCCCTAAAAAACCAATCTTTGGAAGAGGGCCTGTCTGTATAGGCCACCAGAATTGGTTTTTTTAGGTTTTTTAGGGACAGTACGGCACTTTCTGCTTCTGGGATTGGTTTTTTAGGGACAGTACAGCACTTTCGGCCTTCAAAGTGCTGTACTGTCCCTAAAAAACCAATCTTTTCGTGAGGGTCTACCTGTATAGGCCTCAAGAATTGGTTTTTTAGGTTTTTTAGGGACAGTACGGCACTTTATGTTTATGGGATTGGTTTTTAGGGACAGTACAGCACTTTCAGGACCTCAGGCCTTCGAAGTGCCGTACTGTCCCTAAAAAACCAATCTTTTGAGGAGGGCCTGTCTTGATAGGCCTCCAGAATTGGTTTTTTTGGTTTTTTAGGGACAGTACAGCACTTTCAGCTTCTGGGATTGGTTTTTTAGGGACAGTACAGCACTTTCACTCCTAAACCCTAAACCCTACAAGAGGCAAGTCATCTGAGGCCGGTACCTGAGACAGGGAAGAAAATGAGACCTAGGTACTTGGGGGGGGGTACCATATATATATATATATACGTATGCACAATCTGTACCAAAAGAAAGACTGTCATGCCTTTTTTGTTTGAATATGCAGCAGGTTGTGCTGGCGCTTCGATCTTGCAGACAATCTGCCGCAACTTCCTGAACCGTCTGACAGTCAAGCAATGCAGGCTCGGCTCAGCCTCAGCATGCTTTAGTGGAGGTTTGTTCTTACAGTCGGGAGGTCCGTCCATCTGCACAGGTGCACGACAATGCCTAGGCAGGCGGTGTTGGTGAGATGTTTGTGCGCGATGCCATGGCCTAAGTTCGCAAGTTTTTTCCTTTAGACAGCAAGCGGTAGAATGTCCAATCCCGTCTTCAATCCTCCCTTGGGCCGTGGCGAGAGCACAAAGTTCCAAGTCAAGTTTCATGCTTCTCACAAAGCCTGAGTAGACCAGCCAATGACGCTTCGAGTGATGCAAGAAAGGCTTGCCCTGACAAGAGCCAGGCGAAGAAGAGAGGGAGCGAGAGAGAGAGAGGCCTCCCCTCGAACAAGATAGACGAGGAGACCAAAGGGGACCGGGAGGAAGGGGTCCGTGAAAGCGCCGCCTCTGTGGCCATATCGCACGCCTAACTGTTTCACTACGAGCCGTTCGAGTACATGTCTTGGGCACTTCGCAAACGCCGCATGTACCCGGAGACTATGCCTGCACACCCGGTGAGCAGGGAGGTCTTGAGAGAGAGGGCTGAACGTGGGGACCAACAAGCTTGAGGGCTGCAGCAAAGCTCCATGCGAGACGCTGTGGAGGGGGAGCAAGGTGGACGACACTGTGGAAAAGACGAGCAAGCACACGACGGGCGAGCTCAGCCAAAGGGGTGACCGCAGCCAGGTGAACAGCGAACATGTGGCACAAGCTCGAGCTGAACAAGACGACGACACACCAAGACAGACTAGTCTGCCGAGACCGAGCAGAGGAGGGAGAGTTGGATGAGTTGGAGCCGCAGGAGCCACAGTCGGACCCGGGCAGCGAGATGGCATCCCGATGGCATCCCCCATGGATGGTGGGAACCGGGAAGCGGAGATGCCGAACATCTTTGACGACTGGCTGCCAACAGGGGCGACGGACTGCGAAGTGAGTGCTGGGTCCAACAATAGCAACAGTCTGAAGTCGTTGATCCTCAAAACGAACCCAGGCCCAGACCACTAAAGCGCTTGACCGTCGGGGCCGGGTCCCTTCGGGGACCCTAAATTGTGCACAAGAAGAAGAAGAAGAGGCAAACGAAGAAAGCAAAAACTCCTTGAGAGCAGCGCGTTTCGGCGCTTTCTCTGCTTCAATGTGCCCGCATAAAGGGTGCACTAAGCAATCTAAGTCTGGATACTGGACCACTGGAACCCGGAGATTTCGCAGTGCAAGCCTCTCGGATATATTACTACAAACAGAATGAACCAAGGAGAAGTCAAATACTTCTTTGGAGTAGGACAACCGATGCAGCAAAAATGCATTTTAGCCCAGCAGAGTTCGATTCAACACGGTTGGATCTTGATAACGAGGACAAACAAAGGTGGCCTGGGCAAGCACAACAACCTTCAGAGTCGTGATGAAACTGTCATTGTTGTTTTGATTTCCAATGCTTCTCGCGCCCGGCACGTTGATGCAGGCAATTTGTAGTGCATCTCATGAACAGACAGCATCTGCACCCCTCGTCATCTCATCTTATGATGTTTGAAACGCATGGCTTAGGATACGACAGCGTCTCAGTCAAACGCATATGGATTTCGACCCCATGCTCTTTTCATGATTCGACCACTCCGCGGGCTACTCAGCTCTTGGAATCCTCCGAGACAAGGAGCTACTAGTAGCCATTCAGGGCCAACACTCTTATTTCGCGATTCTGAGGTTGTGTGTGTCTGCAGCGCGGCTCGCAACAGTAGGTAGCAACGATGAGTCTACAGAAATCGGAAGTTCTATAAAAGTAGGGATGGGTGAACTTGATCAACAAGGGTGGAAAGGCGTGCCTCGAGAATTAAGAGAAGCGAGGCCATTCATTCCTTCACGAAACGCAATTGAGATGCGATAGCGGATTGGGAGGTTGCGCCTTTAATTTCTTTGGCACAGTCCCCATGTTTCATACATCGCGGAACTCATTTCTCTGGGGGGAGGGCAGTCTTTTGAATCCATAGGCCCAGATTCTCTTTGTTACTATCTCTCTCTCTCTCTCTCCCTCGTTGATGCTGTCTCTGTTCTGACTATTCTTTTGTCTCAATCTTTGTTTCTATCCCTCTTTCTTTCTCTATGTGTTAATGTTCTTTTCCTTGTATTCTCTCCCTCTCTCTCCTATCTCACTGGAAAATTTGGCCCAGAGCTTATCCCGAACGCGATCGTTCACAACCGCATGCGCCGGAGAAATCAATCGCTTTACGGCCTGGGAAGCCCGACCCAACCCTACGAGCTGTTCAACTTCGTGCGAAGCACAATCTTGCGAAGCACAATCCCGTCCTTGAATGGCTGCCCTGGACTTTCGAGATCTTTTCGTAATAGACAGGACAACCTCCTGCCACAACGCGCCTTGATCTCCCAACCTCCAACGCAGCAACAACGCTTCAAAGATGGTGAATGCATGTTGCGGTCTTTGACCTCGTCTCGCCTGCCGGAGAACACATTTGGGGAACATGAATAAATGAATCTGCGCTCGCTGCCCCTCCATGGAGAGATCCTGGATTCCCTGATCCTGACCAACAATGGAAACTTGAGGCATCAAAAACATCTTGCTCAATTCTTCGTGCACCGACGTTATTAAGGTCTTGGGGAGGTAGTCCTTGGTACAATCGGGGTGGTCCAAATTTCTTGAATGTCAGGCGGTTCGTTGCCAGCACTAGCGGGACAAATAATTCAAGCAGGCGAGTTCTATCAACCGACTACCTCCGTTACACGCTTCGAAGCCGACAAACCACAGATGCTGCAAACCCCCAAACCTCTCTTGCAAATCAAGACTGAGGCGGCCGACCCGGTAGCTCATGGGCCAAGTGCAGTCTATGTCTATGTGAGCTCGCAATCAATGCCTCTTGTGTTTTCCACGGCGCCCCCCTTGGGGCCCTGTGACGGAAGCATCCCACAATGACAACTAGACTGTTCGGTGCGATCAACGCAGATCAGACTGTGGTGTCCCCGCTTCGGAGCCGCAGCTATGTTTCGATTTTATCATTTTCTTCATCATTACCTCCATCACCTGCACTTGCCCAGCTCGGAACCGAGTTTCTCCGGAAACGGACGGCGCAATGCCACAAGACGCAGAACAAGGACACAAACACTCCACCTCAATCTACGTCCGTACCAAGCCGCACCCAGAAAGTTCAACGACAAATACAGAAACGTGGATGTGAGGAATGAACCCCGAGCAACCACAAAGTGATCCCAGAAGGGCCCGCACGATTCCCCATTCGTCCCGTTGCCCTTCCATGTGAATCCACAACACAGTCCAGCAGAGACCCGACACAGACCCTGAATCATCCCAACGACATCGCTACTCCCGGCTCGGCACGCTGCCAGAAGACTACACTACACATGGCACTCCACGCATTGACCACACAGCTACGCAGAAAAACCCCTGCTACAGAGGCGATGAACAAGCTGTCCTCCCCAAGGCAAGATGCCACTTCCCAGATTTCAGAAGTTCAACCCAGAGATAAATGGAAACCGCCCCGAACTCCTTCGTTGGAAAGGCACCACTCTGCCATCAGCCAACCGCTAGCCGCAGCTACGGGGCGATAAGCCCCCCCTTAAGCCCCCCCTTTCAGCCCCCCTTAAGCCCTCCCCTTAAGCCCCCCCTTAAAGCCCCCTTGAAGCCCCCCCTTTACGCCCCCTTTAAGCCCCCTTTAAGCCCCCCTTTAAAACCCCCTTTAAGCCTCCCTTTAAGCCCCCCTTTAAAGCCCCCCTTTAAAGCCCCCTTAGAGCCCCCCTTTAAGGCCCCCCCATTTGAAGGGGCTTTAAGCCCCCCCTTTAAGCCCCTCTTTTGAAGCCCCCTTAAAGCCCCCTAAACTCTCCCCTGAAGCCGCAACCAAGCCCCCCCCTCTGTGGAGGGTTTAGGCAGCAGTTTAAGAGGCCTAATACTTGCTGGGCCTTTGGGCAGCAATTTAAGAGGCGTAATACTTGCTGGGCCTTCTGCGGAGGGTTTAGGCAGCAGTTTAAGAGGCCTAATACTTGCTGGGCCTTTCGTGGAGGGTTTGGGCAGCAGTTTAAAAAGCGTAATACTTGCTGGGCCTTCTGCGGAGGGTTTAGGCAGCAGTTTAAGAAGCCTGATACTTGCTGGGCCTTTTGTGGAGGGTTTGGGCAGCAGTTTAAAAGGCGTAATACTTATGACGCTGGCGCCGGGGCCCTTCGTGACAAAGCAATCATAATTCCTAAGACAAGGCATCAGCCAGGAAAATTCCAGTTACTCCTTCTTCCAATCCCCTCAAACTTTCAAACGCCATCGGCTCGAAACCTAAACGCATGCTGCATACTTGTACAGCGTTCCGCACTTTGCTGATGGAGTCGCTTTCTCTCTGCAGGACGATTCGCAGCACGTAATTGCTTCGTACAACCTCATCTGATGATTACGGGAATCCAAAGCATGGGCGCCAAAAATGAGAACCTCACCATTTCATTTTTTGTCGAGCTCGAGGCGCATACCAACAATATCTGAAAATGCAAAGTTAGAGAACAACATATCATGGATAGGGGCAGGTGCATGACGAAGCCAGGCTCCGGCGTCTGTCGCCGAAGCTCGCAGGCATGCTTGAGTAGCAATACTTCCTGTTTCAATCATATTTTGACATGTAGAAGCATAAAGATCTTTCAGAATCTGAGGTTGGTCAAGTAAACGACTACCATCTTGCAAATCACTCCGGCCGGAAGCGGAAAGAACGATATGAGATGGGCCGCAGCGTTCTCTTCACGACGTGTCGCAAGTTGTTCATACCCAGGTACCAGCTTCTTGATATGGATGGTTGCGGCCCGAGCCCCCCCTGCCCCTCCCCCCCTCCACCCCGCTTGGATGCTTAACGTCTATTCTGCGCGTGCTCGTTGTTCTTATGTGTTTCCCGAAAACCTATCTGGGTTCGGTTCTCGTTTTTAGCTCTTCAACACGGTATCGGATCGCAATCTGACGGAAGAGGCCACGAAGAGGAGACGGTTAATGGAGAAAGGGTCGGACGGAATGAATTTTGGACGGGAGGCCGACAGAGAGGACACGGTCGTGGGAGGTCGTTTTGATGGCGGAGGGACGTGGCATGGGGGAAGC